CAATTCAAGCAAAACAATTAAACAAAATGCGCATTCAAGTTACAACAACAACAATATCAAAATATTAACAAAAAGAAAAATTAAGACAAGAGACGCACTTGGCCTTTCACTTTGGCCGGGCAAAGCCGTTAATTGATGTTGGGTTTGCAAAAAATGTTGCAAGTACACAGAAAAGTATCTGCACACATATTACCTATCGCCAGGAAGATAATATGGCGATAGCTGAGCAAAAAAACCACTGGAAGATAAGAAAGCGATAGAAAAGCGATACTTGTCCTGTTTTGCAAAAATGTAAAATATCTCAAATCAGTCGAAAACTTTTGAAACTTGTATGTGTGAGATATTGGAAAACTAGGAAAGAATATTATTTGTTTTTCAACTTTCTTACATAACCCTTAAACGGACTTCTTCCACGCATTGGAATCGTACATAAATCAGAATACTATGTGGGTATATTTATCAATTGTTTATAATGTAATATATTTTCCATTTCCAGACGTAGCATATACAAAAGTGCAATAATTCCCAATGGAATCTGGAAAATATCAAAAGAATTCCAGCCTGATCCCGCGATTAATAAAACGTTGCAAAAATGTAAGCAAGGAACTCTTCCTCATACTTATGAGTAAATACTCATTAAAACAGAAAATGTAAAAGTGAAGAATGTTGCACCTAAGAAATGGAGAATAAACCAAAAGTAGTAAAGTGATTTATTCTAAAATCTCCCCAAGTGCTGCAAATAACAGAACATTAAAGCTCAAGTGCGCTAGGGCAGGAATTCCCGTTCAAAGAAATAACAACAACAAACGGTATTTCGAAATGCTCTCATTCGTTTTGATTTTGTCAAGAGAGCACATTAGAATTTGCTAAGCTCATTAAAAAAAAAAGGTCTTGAGTATTTTTATGTACATATGTATGTGTGTATGTATATGTTACTCATTAAGAAGCTCATTAACATGATAATCAGAAATTATTAACAGTGAAGCAGCGAGAACACAACAGTACGGCAACAGTGCGTTCCATACACATGTAGCATGGAAAATGTTCGCATGCAACAAGTCGCTTTACATTGAAATATCCAAATGTTCACAGGAAATCATCAAAATGTGCAAGCGCATGTTGAATACATGTATCCAATAAGACTTTTTGACACACACACACACACACACGCGCTCTCTTGGCGCTGGCTGGCATTGTGGTTCGCCTGGGTGCCAACAGGGGCACAAGTCGAAGAGACTGACAGAGCGAAAGAGAGAGAGAGAGAGAGAGGGCGCGTAAGAGCGTCAGTCGCGCATTTACAGCTGTATTGCTTATTTGTTCGCTTTGCCCCCTTCTTCAATTCGGATTTATGTTTTTTTTTTTTTCTTTTTTCTTTCCGTCTGTTTGTTGTTGCTGCTACTGCGTGCGGGGTTGCAAAGGCAAGAAAAATCGAAAGCGCCAACGCGACCGACGTCGCTGCGTTTCGGTGCTGGTGGTTGCTTTGGACTTGGTCATTGCACAGTGGTTGCCACCCAAAACAATGGATCGGGCGCACAGATAAAGTGTACAAAAACAGATCGGAAAAAGCGCGACTTCAACAAATTGTCTGTGATAAATGGATATGCCAGTGTGTGTGTGTGTGTGTGCGAGTCAATTTACAGTTGTTAACACATTTGTACCACTGTCGCTGGTGTTGCTGCTAATGATGTTCATAATGTTGATGATGATGATGATGATGATGACGGCCAGCGGTTGAAAAGTCAAAGTCAAATGCAAGACATAAAACAATAACAACAGCGGCAGCCATAAACTATGAACACCCTGTGCATACAATAACACAGCAGAAAGCAAAACAAGTTTTCACTTTTATTTAGTTTTTTCGTGTTTTGAGTAACTTAGGCATGCTGGGAGGGGTGGCAGTGGGGGCTTGCCGTGTGGCATTCATTACCAAACGACGATTCAATTGCATTTTGTTGTAGCTGCGGCAAATTGTGGCCATAATGAATTGCATAAGCCGGAATCGCAATCTCCAGCCACATTTGGTCAACTGCAGAGAGAGAGAGAGAGCACTCGAAGCTCAAAGCGCAATTGAAATAACACATCAAAATATGACCATTTAAGGCAGCAGCGGCACATTCACAAATTCCCATATGCGGCTAATCGACATCATTCGAACGACAACAACAAGATTACATACAATAAAGCGCACACACACACACACACGAACACAGAAACACCACGCACCCGAAAAGTAACTCAGGCTGCATACGGTACTCGCTTTATATACTTCATTCATTCATTGAGCTCGCGCTCATTCTCATTCTTTTGATGCCCATTGTTTTGAGTGGCCGTCGCGGCCTTGCCTTGGCGCTTTTTTTTTTTCGCAAATCCAATTCCCATTCCAATAACATTTCCAGTGGGTTGAGTGGGAGTGGGCATGGGAATGGCGTCGAATTAGCTCATTTACTTATTGTTGCTACACTTGGCTCATTTTGGCAGCGGAAAAAGCACAACGGGAGCTTAAGCTCGAGCTCATGTGCGTCATTTAAGGCAATTGCGCTTTAGAAGTGCTCGCAACAACTGTTCAAAGATTTCAAAAAAAAAAATAAAAATAAAACACACACAATGCAAGTCTGCACAATAAGCCTGTGTATTATGCTACAAAGGCTGATAAATAAATTGACGGAAGCATTCAAGGAAAGTACATACATACATACATACATATACGTACGTACAAATACAAGCACATCATTTGCGTGTGTAATGCCCAATTAAATTGATGATCGGAATGTGCGGGCGCACTCAATCAAACAGCAGATCAAACGGACATATTACACAATGTCTTGGGGTTGGGGTTGATTGCACCCGGCGCACACTCCATCAATCGTAGCTACGTTATACAGCACTAAATCAATTCAGATGCGATAAGAGAATCCAATTAGAATTTCATTGACGAAAATTCATATTGATATCGAGTGTAGTGCGAAAGGGCTCTCTCTCTCTCTCTCTCTATCACATGCACACACACGCACACATGTACACATACACGAAGAAATGAGCGCACGGCTAGCATGCTAATCACAAGCACGAAGCAAAAAGAGCCGAAACAACAACAGCAACAACAACAACAACAGCAGCAGCAAACAAACAACAGCAACAGGCAAATACGAAATAACAAAATTAACAACTCGCCTGGCAACTGGAGAACTGGGGAAACTGGCCGATTGCCACCGTCGTTGCCGTTGCCAGTTGTCGACTTGCTGCCCTTTGCTCGGCGCCTGTTCAAATAAGTTTCAAATTTTGACAAATAAAACCATGGTTTTGTAATTTACGAGCGCTATTTTCATCATGATTGAGCGCGGCGACGCCAGTTGAGTGGAGTTTCCCACGCCCATTATTCACACTCAGAACAGAACGGGTTTCAGGACTCAAACTCACTCGCAATCTCTCTCTCCCTCTCTCTCTCTCTCTCTATCCAACTTTTACTGCGTACTTGGTTTTTGGTTGTTTGTCTTTTGACTCCTCCATGGCGAGAGCGCAATAAAAAGGGATTATGTGCAAGCATGTTGCGTTATGTCTGTTTGAGTGTGACTGTGTGCATGCTTTGGGGGGAGGGGCGGACGATAAGCGGGGTTTGAGCGAACCGAAAGAAGCTGCAACAACATCTCCCCGTCTAGACGTTTGATTACCGGCACACAAACACAGGCGCATCCAACACACGTACACACACACACACTTGCACTCAGACACAGGACGCAGCAGCAGCAGAAGATGAAGAGCCAGATGCCAAGGCACAGTGTGCCGAAATGTCGTTAGATCACCACCAAATGATAATTGCTTGGCCAATTTCCTTTTCTTTTTTTTATTGGTTAAGCGGATTTTTTCTGCGTGTTTCTGTTCTCTTATCAGTTACATTATTAGGGTGGAAAGAGTTCAACGAGAGAGTGAGAGAGAGAGAGAGGGAGAGAGAGAGTCATAAATGTAAAGGTTTTTATATTGTGCCTGGCTTGTACATGATAAGGTGTACATCGAAATGGCTTGGATTTATTATAAAATTATTCGAAACACATATTTTATTATTCTTATATTTTTGAGAAATCTGTATAGGCAACGAGAGGTCACAAAGGTCATTTGTGACAAGCGAAATGTTCAAAATGTGCTTTGAATCTATCGTCCAATATAGCAAGAGTTTCTTTATCAGACTTTTCTCATAAAATCCAACATTTTTTTACTTTACATTGAAGAACTGGCTACTCTGATCTTCGGGACTGCAATCTGGGATTGAATGGATAACTCATCTGTCAATAAATCTATCAATTTACTCAATTCGAAACCCAATTTGCTGTTTTTGATTCAATTGAATAAATTAACAAATTTGAAATATTTTTGAGTAAACGAAACAATAAAGTGTTGACTATTCTATTAGTTTTTTGCCTTGTCTTATCATGAATAGAATTTTTTTCTGCTTACAATTAATTAGTTTTCACGTAATTCGTAAATGCAAAAGCTAAGCAGATTTCGTAAGAGTCTCTCCCTCTCTCAAAGGCTTAACGAGAAAAAAAAATAAATCTGTTATCTGATAAATTCTTCTACCTGAAGTAACCCGTTTGCTTGGGGTTGCGGATATATGTATCATCCATATGCATGCGATTTCGTCACAGTAGATTAATCAGCATTTGGTTTCTCATGTTCTGCTGCTTCATTTGAAAGTCACTTTAAGCAATAAAGATGAGGATCGAAAGGAGCTGCTTCATTTTTTAGCACAAACGTGACCACTGTGCGTGGTACGGCACAGAGGGGCAGGGGGTGTGGGGGGGGAGACAGAGCCAGTGACAGGCTTGTCAAGGACTGTGCACACTCGATGCTTGGCAAAGGTCACATAATCGGCACGGCGGAGCCTTGACTTTTGCACTTTCGTCAAATGTTTGCGCCGACATTCAAAAAGAAATCAAACACTGCACTTAAAAGAGAAAAAAAAACCAAGAAAATAGCAAACGAGCAAAAAACAAAAAGAAACTCACCACACAGCCAAATGCTTCAAGTGTCGTCGCCTTCTGGGCGTCCTTTTTGTGCCGTGGTGAGTTAAGCGCTCGTCAGATGAAACTGGAATTTTTGTCGACTGCGTCTTTGCCAGCTTCTGTTTTGATTTCGTTGCTCTTTGTTGTTGTTGCTGCTGTTGTTGTTGTTGTATCGAATGGTCTCAGCTGCTTGCGCCTGTATTGGTATTTTTGTGTGTGTATGTTTTATAAATCCTTTTGTTTCGCTTCTGCTTTTTTGGCGCGCAATTTTCGATTGTCTCGACGGCTGCTGCTGCTGCTGTTGTTGTTGTTGTTGTTGTTGCTGTGTCAGGCACACACGCGAAACCGTCTTGTCGTTGTTGTTGTTGTTATTTGCATATCACGTTTTGCTGCTTGCCTAATACGAAACAACAGCTACAAACACAATAACAACAAACAAAAACACACACACACACACACACAGGCCTTTTCCGAAAGGAAGCTGCGTCCGTTTTTTGTTTTGCCTGTTCACTTCTTTCTTCGTCTGGTTTTGCTTTTTCCTTAATTTCTTTTTGCTGATTGCATTTTCAATTAACTAAGCAAATAGCAAGCACTCAATTATTGTTTTTCTGTTCATTTAATTTTTAGCTCTTTTAATCTGTAGCAAATGTTTGCTGGCTGTGGGGCTCCGACTCCGAGCGACGGCGACGCGTTGGCGACAATAAATCGACACGAAAAAACAACGTCCGTCTCGTTTGCACGCTTTGAACGAACTGAGAGGCACAAGCAAAACAAAAACTCTCAGAGCCAAAGCAAAACAAGCGATTGTGTTGCGCACGACAGCAAGTCGACCCTGTAATACACTGCACGCCGTTTATCGGATGCGGCATGTCTGTATATAGAGTTATTATTGTTTAACATATATACAAAAACAATCTGTTATAAACAAAATAAATGTATATTAAACGTGCAGTAAATTCGATTTAATTCATTTTTGCAAAGCTGTAAAATTTAATATATATTAATCTGGCTTTTGCTTGATCTGTTTAATAAACAGATTGCGGCAAAAAGAAAAACTTAATTTCAAATTAAAGTAGGAATACCTCTTGCGCACATGTGCTGCATACCTAACCTAACACAGTGTGGCTGTGCGCGTCAAACGCTGAAAATACCAAAAATACCAAAAATAAAATACAACTCTAAGCAGAACCCAAAACCCAAAAACATTTCTGTTTGTGCACGAACGTTAATTATTATTGTTTATGCGTCGGACAGTGCAACAGCAACAGACGGGAGCGAAGAGGATAGCAAGAGGAAAGGCGAGACTCAGCGAAAATCATTTGGAAGCGTGAAATTTGAAACAGATGCGGCTGCTGATGAAGTAGAAAAAGATTAACAACAACAAGAAGAAGCGCAATGCAACGGGACGCAGATCAGGAACGGCTGCTGAATGAGGAGCAGCAGCAGCAGGCGGAGGAGCAGCAGGACGAACCGATGCTGGGCAGCGAGCAGCGAGGCTTTGTGCCCGCCTTCTCGCCACAGTACGACATCGACAATGACGAACGCTGCCTGCTCGTACGTGAACGGGATCGGGACGAGGTGGTGCAGCTGACGAATGCGCCCAGTGCAGGCGCCGCCCTCACCTATTGCGTCTTCTACCTGCTCGGCATTGGCACCATGACGCCCTGGAACTTTTTTGTCACCGCCGAAGATGTAAGTAGCGCATGAGAGGAAGCGCCGCTCCCCCTACACCTCCCCCTCCCACTCTACACACTTGTGCCCGCATTATGTTCGATTTACAAGCGCAACTTTTGCGTCGCTGTCTAAGACGTTTTCTTATCTCCGTTCTGGCATTGTGCTTTGCTGTTGTTGTTGTTGTTGTTGTTGTTATCGTCTTTAGTTTCTCTTTGTTTACGCTATTTTGGTTGAGTCAGCGCGCCCCCCACGCCAAGCGCCCCTCGCCCAGCAAACGATCAACCGTTGCTTGCCTACTTTGGACTTGTTGCACCCTGTACTCATTACCATTAACGGTAAGGGGGGGGGGGGGGGGGGGTTGCTTAGCAGAGAAGGCAGAGTTCGCTCGATAAGCAAAACTATTAGAATGAGCAAATTTTTAAACTTATTTGCATACTATTAGCTCGAAAGAAGAATCATTTGAATAAATATATTCGCATCATATTGAAATTTAATTCATTAATTTTAGAGGCGAATGAACCCAGTTATCGATAGATCACTGTATGCTCGAGAGTTCACGTTCTTGTATACCAAACTTTTGCCTAAATCGATAAATATCGATTTCCAATTGTTGTTTCTTGAGAATATCTCGAAGATTTCTCAGAATAATAGGTAAACAGAAGTCAGAGTTATAGGAGAAACTATTTTTATGATGGTAAACGTTTACGTACAGGGTATCAACCGGTCGGTCACTCACTAAACTGCATCAATTTTTCTTTGGCAGTATTGGAAATACAAATTCCGCAATACAACAATGAACGGCACACATCCCGAGGAGGAGCTGACGCCGCTCCAGAAGAGCTTCACCTGCGACCTGGCCCTGACCGCAACCATTTCGGGCACCACGTTCCTGCTGCTGAACGCCGTCTATGGACACTATGTGTCGCTGCGTGCCAAAATGCTGGGCACGCTGTGCACGATACTCGTGCTGTTTGGCATCACCACGGGCTTCGTGGAGGTCGACACGGATCGCTGGCAGGAGCAGTTCTTTCTCATCACGCTCATCATTGTGGTCATACTGAACAGTGGGTAGAAACTCCGTGATGCCTGCCTGTCAATCTATATATATATATATATACATGTGCCTTCTCCTTTCAGTTAGCTCGGCGACCATGTCGGGCGCCCTGTACGGCGTCGCCGGCCTCTTTCCCTCGGAGTATATGACAGCTGTGGTCAGCGGGCAGGCGCTGGGCGGCATACTCACTGCCTTGGCGTTCATTTTGGTGCTCGCCTTCGATGCGGGCCCCTCAGCCACCGCCTTTGTGTTCTTCATCATGGGCGCCCTGCTGATCTTCTTCTGCATCGTCTGCTACTCTGTGATGGCGCGCCAGGCGTACTTTAAGTATTATCTGGCGGGCGGCGATAAGTTCAAAGTGATTAGCGCCCTGCCCTCGCACAGCCGCAACGACGAGTCGGGCGTGCCCCTCGAGCCGATCCTCAAGCAAGTGTTGGGCAAAATCTACATGCAGGCCGTCTGCCTCGCCCTGCTATATGCCACAACGCTTTCCGTATATCCGTCGGTGACGGTGCTCATGCAATCGGAGAATTCCGCCAGTCACACCGAGTGGAGTGGTATGAGCCCTACTTAATATCTAAATATTTATGGGGCGACTGCATGTGCTGACTGACTGAAAACTGACTCAAGAAATCGCTAGTTTCAAAGTCCAGATTTTAAATAATATCCGATTGAATGCTCGACAAGCAAAAACAATTCACCCACGCAGTCGGAAAATGAGTGGAAGTTTATTTTCAAAGATCGCTGGGAAAAGCCATGCGAAACTTTTCTAGTCTAAAAATGGACTGTTTTAAAGGCCCAAAGCGGGCCTAAACACATTTTAAAAGTTCTTCAAATCCACTTACACAAGTGGAAATGGGCGAAAGTGTTTACAATCAGTGTGAAAATAATATATTTAAATATCTATCAATTGGATTGGTCGTAGGATTGAATTTAAATTCCGGTTGCAAGCTCTACATAGGAAATCGATCAATTCAATGCGATTAATTTTAAGAAATTCACAACTAGGCGCGGAATTTAGTTCGTAAAATGAGTGAAAACCCGCACAAAACTGTTTAGTATCAATTGTTAGGTTTATATTTTTGTACACCTTGCTAATAGTTGCCCACTTTCAGATGTTTACTACCTGCCCGTTGTGAACTATTTGTTCTTCAATTGCGGCGATTATTTTGGCCGCCTGATTGCCGGCTGGCTGGAGTGTCCCAGGAACCAGCAGACGACGCTGCTCTGGACCGTGGTGCGTGTGCTGTTCGTGCCCTGCTTCCTCTGCTCGAACAGCAGCGAGCACCACTTCCTGCCCACGCTGGTGCAGCACGACTACACCTTCATGGCCATGATCATAGCCTTTGCGCTGTCCAACGGCTACCTGACCAACATACTGCTCATAATGGCGCCAAGGTGAGGCCCCCTCCCCCTCTTGTCATACTCTAATACTGACAATATACTTGCAGAAGCGTCGATCAGCACGAGAAGGAACTGGCCGCCTCCATAATGGCCGCCTCCCTGAGCGTGGGCATGGCCGTCGGCTCGTTGCTGAGCTTGGCCTTTGTGCAAATGTTGTGACCGTCGAATCCATGGTGCCTTAGAAATCTTTGTTTACATTTTAAACTATCTATAGCTAATTATATGTATATATTTTTTTACCCGTAACAAACGTCCCATTTTGTGTCCGTGTGATTTCCTGAAACGTAATGCTCCAAAATTTGCCAATGTCTGTAAGACTTTAGACATATCTAGACGAACTTATTTGTGTTAACATTTTACAATCGGTTTTCATTGTTTCTATTGTTACCTGTAAGTTTTATGACGTGTCCTTAATTGGCCACATTTTGTATGTATATAGGTTTTAAAAATCAAGAATAAAATTCGTTTTTTATTTTAAGGTAATTCTGTTTGTTTAACGTTTATTTCGGTTTCTGCAGATCACAACAACAATGTGGATTAATTCGTTTTTAATTTAGGTTTAGTTTTTAGTTTGCAATTCTTAAATATTTTTTATGTGTTTATTTCTTTTAACTAACTCCACTGTAAATATGTGTATGTATTGTATTGATATTGACAGCTTGCACATTTATTTTTTTTTTTCGAATTTATTTTTATAAATTTAATTTCGCCCCGTGTTCATTTTGCGATATCGCATATTAAATTCAAAATTTAACTGCCGTCGCGCTGCCAACTGAACATTGATAAGCTAGTTGGCAACGCGTTGCTCTCTCTGTCTCACTGCTCTCACCAACGACTAACTGCACTTTTTGCATTAACGACCTCTCTTTGAGCTTGAATTTTGAGCTCTCAAAAACGTTGTGAGTTGTGTATGAGAGTGAGTAAAGTGAGTTGCCGCCATTTTGTTTATCATTCCTTGGCAGCATTTGACTGCCAGGCTAACCAATGCACATCAAACTGTAATGCACTCACACACAGGCACAGGGCGTTTCAATAATTTAAGTTCGCATTTAAATGCTATTTATTTTAACTTGAATGTATTTTAGTGCATAATTGTAAATTGTAATATGCATTTTAACTTTATTAAATTCTGCTCGACATTTAGAGATCGCTTTTAAAACTGTAAGTGTTTCCAGATGTTAACAATATGTGGGGTATGCGCTACGATCTGGTCTAAACATTTAATTAGCTAGGTTTTTTTTTTTTTTTTTTTTTGTGTATTTATGTGTTTAATACTCTTGGGGGAATCGTCCCACCAATAATCGTCCAATAATAACATTTAATTTTTAATATATTTTTTGCGGCCTAAATTTCATGTTATTTTCTTCTCTCTTTGCTTTGTGGTGTTTAACACCTTTTTTGCTTTCAGTTAATATTTCATTTGGTTTCTCTACTAACTTATTTTTACGAAACGCACAACAACAAATGTGGATTAAAGCCTGGCTCGAACGGAAAATGGGCGCATGCAATTGCACTCAACGTGAAAAGCAAATGAAAATCTTTCGACAAAAAGCGTTGCAACTGCAACAACAACAACAACAACAACAACAACGACAACAACAACAACAACACACAGATACAGAGTAATTTATGCTTATGGACATTTTGTACATACAACACCAAAAAAAAAAAAGAACTATTTGAATTGATTAATTTGTAGCCTATAATATCCAATCGGAGTCCAATTGGAGCTCTACTATTTGAATCTGTGGGCCAATTAGATTGCAACACACATACATATAACATACACATATAGAAAGTTCTGTAGCCAATCTTGCAGTTCCACGCAGTTTCGTGAAAGCGCACGCAGCGTGCGCGTGAACGCGTGGATTTTTATCATAGACACCAATATAGACACATAGACACATAGACATGACTAATATGCAGCAAGAATAAACAAATACACACATACTTATACATTGTATTCACCTAGTTGTTTTTTTTTTTTTTTTTTTGCGGGTTTGGGGAACTGGAGTATTGCTTGCTTTTTTTGGGGGATTGGACTTACAAGTGTTACAGGCTAGATATACATACATAGATACGTACAACAGACACGAATTACAACATCAATTTGGGCGGGGTCGTGGGGCGGTATCGTGGGGTTTCATCAAATTTGTCTACTCGAGTAGCTTTGGAAAGTATTTTAGCATAGGAAATTACAACATCTAAGGTGGTTTTGCCGTCCAGTGAAATGTACTTTCAACTTGTAGATTTTCATCTATTTGCATTGTTAATTTTTGTTTGGTTTTGATTTCTTCTCATAACATGTATGCATACATATATATTCGGTAAAGAGTTTTGTGTCGTAGTGCTGAAATTTTGGATTTCGTTAAAAGGCAGCTTGGGTTTACCTAAAAATCATATCAAGTTCGGTAATAACACAAAATCGAACGTTGTTCAACACTTAAACGTTTTGCTTATATTTGATTTTCTTGTTTTTCATTTTTTGATTGTCGCTAAGAGCGTGCACAGTTTGGCGCAGTGCTGCTCAAACTGTGCGTACGCCATTTTGGTATTTGGTGTTGTAGGCTGTGCGTCATCTGTGTGACTGTGTGCGTGTGTGTGTGTGTGCGTGTGCTTGTGCATGTGTGTCAGGTTGGAGAGTGTGCCCATAAATCTAAAGAGAACAAAACAATATAAAAGAGACTCTTAAAATAAAAAAACAGCTCGACAGCGAATATTTATTAGAGCCTTGAGTAGATACTAAACTAAAAAAAAAGTCGTAAGTTTAGTGACTAAAACAAGCATAAATAAATAGTTGTATAATGCCTAGAAAAAAATGAAGCCAACCAAAGGAAAATTGACTAAAATGTTGGCATAGCCTTGTGCTTCTTCTTCACTAAGTTCTACAATGCGCGAGATTCTTGTCACATTCTTGTGCGAGAGCATTCAACAAATTAAATATATGTGTATATATATATATATATTGTATATAAATAATTAATGTAAAAGTAAACTCTTGATATAAAAAGTAATACACACAACCACATTAAATAGTAGAAATGGAGCACATGACGTCGCGCCAGACGAAAGAGAGCGAGAGTCTTTCTCTCTCTCTCTCGCTGACTGCGTCACATAACCTCAAAGTTAAGTGAGGTTATAAATTTCTAACTGTTTATAAATTTCTTTTTCATCTACGGTTTTGTTTTTGTTAAATAAATTATATAGTTTATGCTTAAAGGTTTAGACACTCAGAGTTTCAGCGTAGTTCGAATAGGAAGAAACCGTAAGGTTCGGTCTAGAGATAGAATAATTGTAAGTATATCATCTATTGATAAACATATGAGTCATTCACATACACAATAAATACACCGCCTATTACAGTTAACACTACACACACATGGACATAGAGTTCATGTGCTATTCAAATAGATAGACATAGTACATGCCCGCGAGTACTATAGCTAGTTTGTTCAGTTAGAAAACGCGTTTCCCTTTACGCGTGGTTACAGTTACAGTTACAGTTACAGTTACAGTTACAGTTACAGTTACAGCTACAGTTACAGTTACAGTTATTTAGATCTATAAGACTAATCGCTACGAAGACTTCTTGTTGTTTTTGTTTTTTTGCTTTTTTGCTTTTCTTTCCCTAACACAACTGCCGCGAATACTGAAAACTGAAGAATAACACGAGCTATCTTTCGATTCTTTCCGTTCCGATCCTGTCACATTTTACGTCTTCATCTCCGCCGTAATGCTGTTGTGCGACTTGGCTGGCGATATGGCCAGGCCAGCCCCACCGCTGCCCACTGCACCAGCGTCCAAGTTGAGTGTGAGATTATTGCCAGAGAGTGGGCCGGAGCCGCCGGTAACAGCCGTTGCCGCCGAGCAGCCATGATGGTGCGGTCCATGGAAGAGCACCAGGAAGCCGTTGTTGGAGACACAGCTGCGAGATTCCGCATCCTTGTCGAGTATTTGACGTGCCTGCCAAAAGATGGACCAGATATTATGAATAGAACAATAAAAAATTGTTATCCTAGATCATGAATTCTCTATTCAATATTTATGGACTATTTATGGCATTCAAATGTGGTTGAATACACAAATATTCAAATATATTTACACACACATACACACATACACACACACACACACACACACACACACACACACACACACACACACACACACACACACACATACACACACACATACACACATACACACACACATACACACACACACACACACACACACACACACACACACATACACACACACATACACACACACATACACACACACATACACACACACATACACACACATACATACACATACATACATACATACATACATACATACATACATACATACATACATACATACATACATACATACATACATACATACATACATACATACATACATACATACATACATACATACATACATACATACATACATACATACATACATACATACATAAATACATACATACATACATACATACATACATACATACATACATACATACATACATACATACATACATACATACATACATACAAACATACAAACATACAAACATACAAACATACAAACATACAAACATACAAACATACAAACATACAAACATACAAACATACAAACATACAAACATACCTACATAACTATCTACATGCATACATACCTGTATGTGTACAAATGTATATACATACACACAAAAACAAACAACAAAAAACAACAAAAATAAAAAAACAACAAAAATAAATTATAAAAAAAAATAATTCACAAAAAAAAATTATTCACAAAAAAAAAAAATAATTCACAAAAAAAAATTATTCACAAAAAAAAAATAATTCACAAAAAAAAAATACCAAAAAAAAAACACTTCACTACTAGCTAAGCATGAAAAACTGCGGGGCCTACTTGAATTCTTGAGAATCGAGGAGTAGAGCACTTAATAGAAATTCGTTATATTTAAATTTGCAGCATAGCGAAAATTAGCTTGGACTGCGTTTAGTATTAGAAAAGAAGTATACAAGCGTACATATATACATAAATGCACACACACACACTCGCCCACACACACACACGCACACACACACACACACACACACACGTATATACTATTTATATCTTTTCGTATGAAATACTTGTATTATTATAAATCTTGTTTCACATAAGTTCACTTTTATAAGATTTGTATAGAATATATACTTTATTTATTGCTAATTAATAATAATTGTCAAAACCAGTCTGAAAACAGTTGAGAATTACAAGATGCAAGCATTAAGAGTTTGCAGACTAGGTCTAACGTGAGGGTGGAATTTCCCCACGAAACACGAAACCCCTTCTTAGCGTGCACCTTCGTCAGATAAGGTAACTATGGTAAAAACTTCAGCTTCCTACTTAGCTTTGGCTCGGGACAAACAGTTTTATAGAGATGAAAAAGCTAATGGCACAAACTATGCCGGAATCGAAAACCGCAAAACTAAGTTGTATGAACAAGTTTTTGGTTTTACAAAATATCTTGAATATGTGGAAAAGTTTCACGAGATTTGACCCCTATATATTATATAGCTGACATAGGCTTGAACGAGCTAAGAAGAACTCAAGTGTAACTTTGCTAAAACTAACTAAAAAAAATCAAGAATTCTTCAGCTTCGGGATGTTTCCTGAGCCTGGTTTATCTGCAAGGGTTAACACGGGATCGTCACCCACCTTGGAGCGATGGTCGGCGAGCGCATTGCGCACGGCATCGTGCTGCTTCTGCAGTTCATCCGTGCGTTTCTCGAAGGTCTGCTTGAGGCGCACGCGTTCCGCCACGCCGCGCTCCACGACGGAGCTGGCCACCTCGCGTTTCATTCTGTTCAAGAGCGGGAGGAGGAGTGTATATAACAATAAGTAGGCACTTTTTTGGAGGAGAAAGAGTCGTTTCGAGTTACCTGACCAGCTCGTCGCGATCTCTGTGCACCGTGGCGAGATTCTTGACCTCGTTGCGCCGCGCCTCCTGCAGCTGATGCATCACCTCGCCGGTGACCTTGTCCAGGGAGGCCTTCAGCTGTTTCATTTGACTGGTCTGCGAGTTCTTGAGCACCTTCTCGGCGGCCGAGTAGATGGCCTCGTGGTACTTCTCCTGCAGTTCCCGATACTGTGTGGTGTACTCGCGGCAGGCGTAGCGCAGACGCGACTCCTGTGTGCCCTCCAGGCTGCTGGAGGCGGCCTCGTCGCCCAGTTCGCCAGCGCCGGCGCTCTCCTCGCTGCTGTCGCCCAGGTCGAGGGGGCAGGCGGGCACCTCGACGCCCGGCTCGCTGTACGGAGAGAAACAATTACTAATTTCAATGGCGTCATCTGGCAGTGACCACAACCCCAAAAAGCACAGTCGCCCGCCGGACACTTACAGGCTCCTGTTGCTCAGCCGCTTCACCAGCTTGTTGGTTATGGTGAACTTCGGTTTCTTGCCGCCATCGAGGGGGCTGAGCTTCTGGCCAGCGATCTTGAGCTTCTCCTTGTCGTGCTTCTTGCGCAGCGACTCGAGCTTCTTCTCCATTTCGAGCCGCTTCTCGCGCACCGACTTGTGCTCTAGTATCTTGTCCAGCGGCTCGGCCAACACCAGGTCCACATCGAACTGCGACGACTCCACCTGCCTAATCGACGTGCTCACCGACTGTTCCAGCGAATGCTGATGCTGTATGCCCGACGCCACAATGGAGACGCTGTCATCGTTGCGTCCGCCATCGGTGCGATCCGTTGGCAGCTCCACGCTGGTGGCGGCAATTATCGAAATGCTCGCCCGATGCTTCGGCGAGGTGGCTAGCGATTCCACCGGGCGCAGCTCCTTCTTTTGGCCACCTACTTGGACGAAAACGACTGAAGGATCAGAGACAATCGAGCAGAGAGCGAGAAAGAGAGCGAGCGAGGCGAGGCGAGAGAGAGAGAGAGAGAGAGAGAGAGACAGAAAGAAGAGAGAGAGAGAGAGAGAGCAAGTTCGAACGAGTAAAGGAGCAGGAGTTGGGAACGGGTGGGTCGGTGGGCGTTTTGGGGTGCAGTTTGTGTGTCCGTTAACCGTTTTGTGTGGTGGTGTTGGTGGTGTTGATGGTGTTTGAGGAGGTGGTGTTGGTGGTGTATTTTGTTTGTTGGGGTTGTTGGTGGGTGCGTGTGCGTATAACCAAATCCAAAATCCAAAAGTTTAACCGAAAGTTTTATGACATACAAAAGAAAAGTAGAAAGAAAAGAAATTAAATTAAAACACAACTCGAATGCTACCGATATCCTTGGAGAAGGGTCCTTCAGCCAACTAGTTGGGCCCAACTACAACCACTTACATGACTTGGACAGATCCTCGTCGGCATTGGCCAGAGCGTCCGTCTCATCGGTCAGCACAGAGAGCTGTATATCGCGCTTCTCGAGCTCGCTCTGGTATTTGATGGGATTGGCCAAAGCCTCGGCGAAATTGGAGAGATCGTCGGGCACATAGTCCTTGACGACAACGCACAGAAAGAGCGAGGCCAGCGCAATGGGCTGGCCCACTTCGGAGCGCAGATTGACATGCCGATAGCCCGGACAGAGCCCGATCACGGGCAGCACCCGATGGCCAATTAGCTTGCCGCCCTCCTCGTAGGCCGCAATGCGTATGCTGGCCAGCTCCGGCAGCACCACCTTCTTGAACACGAACGGTTCTTCGTCGTAGACAGGATTCATGCCGTTGTCGCGCACCGTCTTGGTGCGGAACTTCTTGCGTACCGTGTCCGCCGGCAGGCCGTACATGTCCACCTCGACAAAGGTGTTGACCCGCTTGTCGGTCAGGAACTGGCCCGAGAGTACGGTTATGGAAACGGTGCCAGCAATGATGCCGTCCACGGTGCTTTCGGCGAACGGATCGAGTCGCCGATCCGAGCGTCGCATGAATTCCGGCTTCAGCAGATAGCCCGAGCGTGCGTTGTACTCGAAGATGCCCAGATTCAGCTGCATGGCCAGGTCCAGGGTCTGAAAGTTCAGCGCCACCAGCTGGCAGCCCGCATTCCAGAACAGTTGCGGCATAAAATTGGAGCTATCGAAGCGTGTGCCCGCCGGATAAACCCGGGACAGCTGATGCTTGTTGTAGTTGACAAACTCAATGGGTCGCTCCTTGAGCAGAGTTGTCGCCTGCTTCTCATCAAACGAGGACATCTCATAGCAGCGATTCTTCTCTGCAAAGTCGAAGCTCATTAGCATTAGGAGTTGGGCTAGGGCTTCCGTTCTACTTACTCTCCGCATTCTCAAAGGAGCTGAAGTGTATGGGCTGCACGTAGTTGACCAGCGCTGAAATCTCGGCGCCCGCCTCCGTTTCCTTTTGGGCCTTCTCCGGCGGCGGCTCATTGCCGCTGGGCAGACTGGGCGTTGTATTGGGCAGGGATTCATCGTCGCTGGAGCTGTCCGAGTCCGAGGAGCCGGTGCTATCCTTCGAGCTCTGACGTATTTGCTGTCAAATAAAAGAGTGCTCTTTAGATCAGGTCCATAAATATTAAGGACTAGATGCAACTTCATCATGTCTGCAACTGTTGCAAGCATATTCATAAAATGAATGGGAAAGGGGAGTTGATTTTCTTGATTTGGCTTAGATTTGGATTCCATACAAAAGACATGTGATCTACCTCAACATTTTTATAATTGAACCTACTATCTTTTAAACAAACATATATAGTTTATTTTTAATTGTTTATATTTATTTATATTTATGCATGTTCAAGAGATTGTTAATATTTGCATAAATTTATAGATTTGAATAAACTTATTTGAAAATAAATACAAAACTTGACTGAATATTACTTTAATTAGCATTTTGAAATTTTCTGGTTTTAAGCCTTTAATAATTTAAATTAATTGATACAAAATTAAATGAATGTAAAACAAGCAGATTTGAAGCAAACTTGCAATAGAACACAAATTATGCAAATTCCGCATGAAGCTAATTTAATTGACTTTACGAAACTTTCTGTTTTTATCAAAAAACTTTTCAATTTGAATAATTAAAATAAATTAATAAAAAAAAAGTCGACATAAGTACTACAGCAACGAAAATGACATATTTGACGGCTTAAAATTTTCATTTTCATAATAAAGATAAAAAGACTGCAATTAATTGTAAATATTTGAGTAGGAGTAATAAATATACTATATATATACTGCCATAAATTATGGTCAGACATTATGTGACGGGTTGTAAACTTTTATTATTGAATGGCCATGCTCCAAAGCGGAGGTCACGGGCGGGGTGCAAGCTGCGAGGCGCAGCTGCCAATATGAAAGCTTTTAAAATGTTGCGTTGTTATCGCTGCAACAGATCCGACAGCCAAACAGGCAAACAGCCGGACAGCCGGACTGATGGACCATTGGACCAACGAACCAATGGACCAATGGAACGATGGAACGATGGAGCGACGGAGCGACGGATAACGTAGTCAATGGGTTCGGTGTCGATAATGCGAGCAGCGCATAATGGCAAGAAAATGGCGTAGATTGTGTTTCCCGCGGAAGGAGCTGAATGAGTGGCCGTAGCAGGACTTTGTACAATGTGCATGCAAGTCGACATTGCATTGTGCCTTGCAAAAGGCTCACAACGACAACCGAGCCACAACAGTATCTATATGCGAACCAGCCATCCGCCCATCCTGCTATCCGCTCAACTGTTCAGCTTTCTGCATTGCACATTTTCCGTCTCGATTCGCATCGTTTTGAATCGATTTGGCTTTCAAGGAAAACTGTGACGAGCTGCCGCCAACACAACTCAACTGGCTCCATGCCCGCCTCCCTCTGACCACAACTCGTGCGGCTAATGAGCCCAAAATGCAACGCACACAATGCTGCCCAAACTGTGCTAGTTGTTGTTGGGCTTTTGGCCGGAAGAGCTGACATCCGCTGCCATTAGCTTAAATTTGCAAAATTGAGGTCCCCAAACTTGTTGACTGGTGGTCGGTTGCCAGGGTTGTTGCCTGGCCACAACACCCACGCCCCCTTGCTTCCATGCGAAATCATGAATAATGATGTGTGCCCCAATAGCAAACGGTGCAATTAAATTAATATGCATAATGCTCATGAGGCCTACAAAGCCATTAAACCAAGCACTCAGCCAGGATATGAAGTGCGTTACAAAGCGAATGGCATATTGTCTTGGGTTTAGAGCGAGAGCAACAAAAGGGACAAACAGTAATATTAGAATCCATTGAAAATCAAGCAAATACTCTCCGAGTTGCGAGAATCAATAGATAATTGCTCCAGGCTAGGGTTTAATTTTTTTAAAGAATATTTTGAGTCTCAGATTTAATTACGCTTCGTTCGCGCAACCTCTTGTCAAGCTAATGTTAAAGTTACTGCTTATTTTGCTGTCAACCGTCAATTGCAGATCAATATAACTCAAAGAAGCCATAATAACATTCTAATTCTCAACCAGTTAGAGGCTAGAGGTTACATTTACATTTCTTTGTAATTCTCAAACAGTTCTGGCAGCTGGTAAACATTGCTTTAAATTTAACATTTACATAATTAAACATGTTTTTCTCTGAACAATTTGCTTTTATATTGATATTTTATTAACGATTTAATAAACTGCAAGCTTTAATTTGAAAAACAGATTAGTGAAAAGTTGGAAATCTGAATCTAATTTTAAGAACATGCTAAATTGCTTGTTAGCTTTAACAGGAAAATGGGTAAACGATTGTAACCAGATCAAATAATTTATGCAGCTTGTAAAGTCGAAAGCGATTTATCTACTCGGAACGTATAGTTTTCAGAAAAACGGATAATGTGATTAGTACAGGGTCTGAGTCTGCGAGTCGTCATAAAAAGTCGATATACGTTTTACAGAGAAGTTTGAAAATTGAATTCGAGTTGAATGTAATACAATTTTGGCAGATGCTCCGATGAAATGTTGATAAAGTATCAAGCTAAAATCAAAAAAAGTTAGGAATTAAAAAATATAATTAATTCGAGTGCCGAGAGAAGTCCTTAGATAATCCGAAATCGACGCATTCTTCCTATAAGCCATTTAGTTTTTATGCATAATTAGCATTTGGGAAATTTTAAACGAATTGCTACCTAATTAACATACAGGCACATACAACTGCTGAGACCTAATAAATTGCCCTTTACATAAACAAACATATTTTTTTTATGCTAAGAGTTAAGCTCTTGCAGAAATGTTGTATCAACAATAAAAGTTTAATCCCAACAAGTTGATGCACTCGTTTGAAAAGAGTTTTTTGCTGGCAACGTGATGCTCATCTTGAACAGGGTCTGGAATTGTGGGGGCAACTCTTTTTCTGGTTTACGGTTCGTTGACTGTCACTGGCCATCAAACAGCTCTTCAATTCATGCGTTTATTCAGCTTTCGCACATGTGTATCTATGTGTGTGTGTGTGTGTGTGTGGGAGTCGGTTTGTGTCTGTGCGTGTATGTGTGGTTGTTGTCATTACGACGTATGTAAACTCACAGCGTAAACACAGCAACGATGACAATCAACATCAAGAACAACAACTGAATACCTCCGCACACAGCAAACCCTAAGCTGGCGTGGGAGTTTGCAGAGCAGGGAATGGGGGGTGGTGGGAGGCAGGGTCAAGGGTTGGGACAGACAAACAGTGGGACAAATCAAGCGGGGTCTGCGGAGTCGAGAGGCAACAAACATCGCAAATAGAGGAACGATGTGTGCGTGTGCTGCCATTAAATGCAATTACAGGCATGCTATGACCACGCCCACACAGACACACACACACGTCCGCCTACACACACACGCGCGCGCACTTGAACATATAAACTTACTTGCAATGGCGGCGCATGTCCTCCGCCAGCCCCGCTTACAATGTCGCCATTTGCGGCGCCTGTCATTGTGCGTCCTGCTGCTGCTCCTCCGCCTACTCCTCCTCCGTCTTCCTGCGCTGCGGCAGCCACTTGTTGCGCATTGGCAGCTGCTGCCGCTGCCGTTGCCGCCTTGGCCGCTGCGTCAACTGAAAACAATTTATTGAATAAATACGAGATATATTATGCAACACCAGAAAGCAATAAAAATGCATGCTTAAAGTATGCTCGTCCTGATGATACCCTGTGGTTTAGTTTAGTTCGTTTTTGATGCTGATCAAGAACAAATGTTTCTAAACTCATATTAATTTCCTATTCCCCCTCTCGCCAATTTATATGACAATAGGGTATATGGCATGCGAATTATTTTACAGCATGTTAAGCGAAATGCGTTTTAAAAATTGTTTGTCCCCTACTGCAATAAGTGTATAATAAAATAAATGCAGCGCATTAGGTACGCGTATAATGCTGAAAATTGCGGCCCGGAGACAACTGTGCGGAGGCGTTGGCTGTGCCAATTGGCCAGTTGCGCTGGGATTAAATACAAATATGAGCGCCAGACGTATTCGCTGGCAATGGTCATAAAACTGTGGAGCTGCAACTGAGGAGCACTGCTCAGACGGGAGCTGGCAGAATGGCTCCCAGTAGACGCACAGCTGGGAGTGCAGCGGCAACTGCGACTGCAGCCAGTGGCAAAAGTCATTTGCATTTATAAATTGGCTTTTTGCAATTCATGAGCAAAATGTCAACTGACTGTTGCGCGGGGCAAAGTGCTGCAAAATGGCATAGAATGTCAGCCATGGGTAAATTGTGCAGTTGTGCATGCAAATGGATCCTGCTGGACTCCGCAGCCAAGGACCTGGCTGTGGCCCATTAGCCAGGACACGAACCAGACAACTAAATACATTTTATATGCAAAATACTAATAAAACTTTAGATGAGTGCAGAGTGCATACGACACGACAGCAAGCGGCACATCGAGCTCCTCAACATATGGCTGGGAGCTAAGAATATTGATTTGAATCAAAGAATCGACTCTCGAACTGAACGACATGCATAATTCTGGCCATTATAGAATACCATTTAAAAACCAAAACTAATTTCCATGCAAAATATCCTTTTATAGTTTAACTAATGGCATTCGATTTTGATGCAAAATATGTGAAGGCAGCGAGGAATTTATGACCCCATAATGTGTATTAAATGCCTTTTTACCCTGTGCCCATTGCAAGTGGATAAAAGGGTAAATTGGAATTGTTTAAATTGATGTATCTGGCAGCAGAGTGCTTCTCTGATCTCATAAGCTTATATATTTCCGATCAGCCCTGTCTGTCTGACTGCTTTGTCTCATTTTTGTGAAATCGATGCGATTCAATGCCCATATCTCGTATAGATGAAGGTAAATTATAAAATAGTTTAAGTTAACTTGATGTAAAACGAAAAACATTTATAAATATATAACTCTAAGGGTATTACAAATATTAAATCTACTCTTTAATGTAAATCAGAAATTTAAAAATGTAATATGCCATTGTGTGTCATTTAGGAAATTAGTTAAAAACTCGATGTGCAAGTTAATCCACGCCCTGAGTTTTTATTTAAAGTTGAAGAACAACAAACAACATCTGCGTGTGTGGAGCTCATTTACATTTGCCAGGCGTCAGGCTGTGGCAGACAGAAGGGCAGCGTGAGGCAAACAACTGGCTCAATGCTGTAGCATATATAGCAGCAACAGCAGGGATAATAATAATAATAGTTACATAAACAACAACAACAATAATGCCTGACATGACAAGCGCAATATAAAAAAAACGCACATAAAATTACGCATACGCCATGTGGCACCTGGACGAGAGTTAAACTGAGGAGAAAGCTCACCTGAGTTGGCCGTTGTTAGTTTATTGCTGCCACCAGGTGTGCCCTGGCCCATTGACGAGCTCGGCTTCTTGTGATGATGGTGATGATGATGATGATGCTTCTTTTTGTTCTTGATAATGATCTTGCGACGCAGCATCGATGGCGGCGGCAAATCCATATTGGGCTCCAGCGGATGCGAATCGAGCGGCTTATCCAGCAGCATATCGCCAAAGATTTCGCGGCAATAGTTGGCAATCTTGGCCTGGAAATGAGCAAAACGGATACAGTTAGTTTTGCCAACTGGCTGCTAACTGAAATTTGATGAACAGCCCGCAGCAGACTGAGTAACTAGCTTGCCAACTTTCCCATTGGGAAGCACGTGGTTTGGCCCTCTGTTAGTTACCTGTTCCCCATGGTAAATTTAGTTTATATAACTACTTTTAATGGTAAAACTTTAACCAGATGCCTGTGCCTGTGTCTGCACCTGTGCACCTTTCTTCCCTGCCTGCCTAAAAAAAGTTTGCCTTTGTTATTATCTCGTGGAGCTGAAGCATCAGGCAATTACCCCTCGAGTAGCTTCTGAGATTTACTCAGCCACACAGCAGCTGGGCTGCTTGAGTGCGAGGCTGGCTGGGGAAGAGGGCGCTTTCGGCTGGGCTACACACGTGAACGTGTAAGTTTTTTGTTTGCCTTCTGACGGATTGCTTGCCTAATGCGTGCGAACGGCAAGAGAGAGGAGCGTGTTGTGATTTTTACTAAATACACGAAATCAGAAATAGTTTTCGTGTTAATGCGCGAACTTTCCCTGAAGTTTTCGTGTTCAATCCTGTTGAGTCGTGTTTCAACTCGTGTTGAGTCGTGCTTTAAATCGTGTTGTGCTCAAAGATGACACGTACTGTATTGTTTAAGTCGTCCTGAGTTATGCCAAGTCTTAATTAGGCGTATTTAGAGTCGTGCCTCATCGTGTTAGGTTTTGTAGACTCGTGCTTAATTGCGTTAAGCTATGTTACCTTGTGCTAAAGTCGTGCCGAGTAGATTTGGGCGCGTGTCAAGCTTTGCAAAAGCGTCTAGCCTGCGTGTTTTCGAATTTACGGCATAGCTTTAAATAAGGTCATTTTGTGGCACCTGTTGATTAGTGTCCAATCGTGTTGAGTTACGTTTAAGTCGTGTGAGGACGCATTGAGTCGAGCACTTTTCTACTTCTATCGTATTGGTTAAGCACGCGCTCAGCTCTAGGCGGGAATATGAGGCGGCTTTTGGCAACTGTTAGTTTAGGACTAGTTACTTTTTGACAGGCAGGCAGCACAGCTGTCGAAATGCGGGCGAGTAATCATTTCTCAAAATACTTTTACAGCTCCTTTCCATTACGCAGTTATCCTGTTTTATTTTCGCTCGCTCGACTTACCTGTTGCCTGGGATTGCAGTGATTCTCGAAGCTCAGTATCACAGGGAATTCGGATGTTTTAAATGCGCTTTCCGCGATGGCCTCCAGCACGTCCTTGGCAAAAATTTCGGGCACAAATGTGTAGCCGTGCACAATGACCGGCTCCTCGGTGCGTCCGTTCCAAAAGTCCAGCTCGACGCATCTACACACAAACAGGAACAATAACAAATTATTAACGGCGATAAAATTAACTGGCGAAAATCCACAAAATGATGGCGCATAAAAATTGTGTTTATCAGTGAAAGCAGCAGGCGCAGCAGCGGCAACAAAAACAAGATTTGCTTTCTGCAGCACACCGAAGCCTAAATACACTTTTATTATTCCTTTCGGTTGTAATCTGGTAGTCATGTTTAATGGGGGGTTTTCGAATACATTGAAGGAATATTGAAAATCTTGATTGCCCATTTTAGTTAAAATGGAAAAACAGAAAAGTTTGATAAAATCTCATTTTTGATAGATTTTTCAATTGAGCTTAGTGATATAATATGGGGAGCATAGTGAAAATGTTGTATGCAAAATTTTGTCAAGATATCTTACAAAACATTTTTGATCAAAAGCTTGTATAATATTTTGTAGCGGTTTTTCAAATGAACATGGCTTTATATACTTTATATATCTCCTTCTATGCGTTACACATTTTATGCCAAAATTATAATACCCTCTGAAAGGGTATAAAAATGTTTGCCATGTCCTTGCAACATCTTTTGCGTCAATAAATTTTGTGATGTGTGCATCGTCAATGGCAAGCGAGAGCATTTGCTGCGACTGCGACGGCAACGCAGACGGCGACGGCGACAGAGGCAGCGGCGTCAGCGGCCGCCATGTTGATGATGGTTGCAGTAAAAATGGCGACCATGCAATTTCCGTTGTACTTAAAAGCAACTCAGCGGCAAAAATGCCACACACACACACACACACACCTGACACATTGTATGCGTGTGTAGACGACAGAATGCAAGCGTATGTGTGTGGAGGCTAATACACACATACAGACTTATGTACGGGGGGACTGCAACAAGGTCACGGTCAGAATCGAAAATATAGGCAACTGACCACACACACACACACACACACACACACACACACACACACACTCGCACGCACGAGTGTGTCCATTTAATTGCGTAATTAAAAGCTCCCACCACGTATCCATACGCCCAAAAGGCGCCCGTCATCACTTACCTGCAGCCAGCTAGCAGACATTGCCTGTATATCTCCACGGACGATTTGCCCGTCAGCTGATGGCCCGTCAGGTAGGTGTTGTGCGAGGAGTTGATGAAATAGTGCGACATCGGCTGGTCCATATCATCGCAGAGATCAAGCTTGTTGGGCGCCATTATTGGATTATCATCGCTCATTAGATACCTAACATGAAATGAGAAACAGAACAAAAGTGAGAATGTGAATTTCAGTAGAGCTTAAAGCCATCTGGCTGAAAGTTTTCATGGGATTTCAAAGGGTGAAAGTTATAGTTAAGATAGTAAAGTTCAAATAAAGGGGAGACTGAACTTGGATTAAATAATTAGTTAGATTCTAGAAATTATACGGTAGTTGCCTAAAAAGCTTTCATATGCTTTCCAAGAACTTTTGTTCAAGGTAGTAAGTCAAGGTTTTTTCTCTTCTAACTTGTCAAACTGTGAACTTGATTAAACCTATACTTTTAAGCACTTGCTCACAGTTGCTTGCTTTTCTATGATTGTTATAGATAAAAGCTATTATGTGCTTTCGGGGAGTTATTTGTTTCTTTTTAAGCTGTAAAAATGTTAAGGCCTTTATTATTTAAGATTTCGAGTTGAGCTTATGTTGTGGTTATCTGCTGTCATTAGGCCTGGGTCAAGCATCATATTTTAATGCGCTTAGTTATAATATTAGTTAATATTACCGAAACCTTTCATGTACTTGTGAAGCTGGAGCAACTGATTTTTGTTGTCAATTTGCATGAGATTTATTTTCCTGTGAGATTCAATAAATTAATTTGTTGAATTTCGTACGAGTTTCTAGAGGCTATTAGTGTAGGTAATGTGCTTTTATAAACTTTCTTGCTTTATATCTTGCTTATGTTAAGTCCATTACTTTGCTTAAAGCTTTAAAAACGTGTTTATATAACTTACGCCCAAACCTATTAATCGAGTGGCTTAACACGTAAACAAACATGCATATATTTTGTTATTGTTGTTGAATTTTTTGCATAAGTTGCATGTGATATATGAAGGACACGGAACCACGCGTCCTTAGCGCCCGCTGCTGCCTGAGACCCAGCAAACAGTGAAGTGAGCGGCTGCCTGATGATGACGATGATGAAGATGACGTCTTGGCCCCGCGTCATATGCAAGCGGTGCGCTCTTGTGGGCCCTGGAGTGCCGTCAAGTGACTCTAACAGGCGTTTGCCGAGCACACGATAAGCTGTCAGGTTCAGGCGCAGGGCCTAAGGACGTGCGGTGCCTCATTTAAGGGTTTTGCGATAGGTTGGGTCTTACCTCAAAAAGCCATCCAAACTAAGCTGGCCCTTTTGTGCGTTGAACTTGTTGGGCTCGTATTGCTGTATGAGCTCCTTGGCGCGTGCATTGTTCGCATACGGATAGAGTATCTCGTTGAGGCGTGGATCGCGTTGCGTCTTGTTGAGAAACTCCACCAGCTGTGCTATGGACATGCATTTGCGCTTTGAGTTACCCACGCTGTAATAAATAGAAGCAGGGATTAGCTGCCAATCTACATTCAAGTGATTAGCTTAATGTACTCACATGCTGTCGAAGAGACGTTCCACCTCGGAACGCTGCGTCAGATATTTGTACAAATTATAAAAGTCCTCAAATTGAAATTTCGACACCGATATGCTATCGACCTTTCCCGATGGCAAGCCGGTCACGTCCAGCGCCTTCTCGACACGTTTCCGATCCTCTTTATTTTGCGCAAAAAGTTTAATGATGCTAAAGTGGTCACGACCAGGACGATAACAGACGATGGCACCGGCGTTCCAGGATAGTGAGGCGAGTTGAGGGAGTTCGTTGTCCAGCCAGACAATGCGGTTCGTGTTGTTGATGATGTTGTCGACGTCAGTGATGCATGAGCCACGTTTCGGCCACATTGAGTAGTTACGCGGGAGAGACGGAGAGTGAGCGAGCGAGGGGAGCGAGAGGAGCGAGTGCAGGAGGAAAATGCGAAAAGAAATTGGCGTAAATTTCAATTTTCTAGGCAGCACTTAACAAATATTGTCAAATACTTCAACACACAATGCACAAAAGCCAAGAACCCCAATCACAAGCCCAACCTCAACCCTGGCCCTTGTCGGGATCAGGGTCACGGTCAGGGTTTGAGGCTTAGGGTTTGGGTTTTTGAGACATGGCTATGCTACTGTGGCAATTACTTTTTCACTGGGATGCGTCCGCTTTTGTCCACCTGCAGACAGAGCTTTGTGTGCGCCTTCTGCAGGAACATAATCGCCGAGCCGTTCAGCTGCGACAGACTATAGGCCAGCTTGATGAGGCCATCCGTCCAGATCTGGAAGAAGACAATACAAGCAAGCGGGCTAAGGTCAGCATACAGAGTAGTGTAAGAAAATGTAACATGAGTCGAGCAAATAAATCAATTCAATTTAATAAAACTCAAAAGAGAGCTCAATAGTTCAAGGAGTTCAGTCAGTTAGAAGTGAAAGATTGCCAATGAAAGGTTTCTCAATGTGCTTTACGCTTAAAATTGAATTTATTTTAGGAAAGAGGTCAGCATTCGGATGTACATGGAAATGAAAAATGGCATAAATAAAAGATGGGCATTATACGAATTCACAAATTTCCGAGTTTCCATTCGAAAAGCTCGTTGCTTCAAAGCAAACACAAAGTTCACGGTTTGAACCAGCGACTCCTCTTAAAAATCAATTCAGAATAGAAAAATTCAATTTATGATATTCTTTATTATTGTTTATCGAAATTATTATATCATTCATTATCTATTATTATAAAAATAGCTTGTTTCAGCTTGATTTGATCTGTTCTTTAACCAACTAATGCAATTTGCACTTGACGCATGTCAATAAGAACCCAACATGGAAAGGGGACAGAAATCGACAATTTTGACTGTGACTATTCAAGTTAAAACAACTCGAAGCACTTAGATAATTTTGTATTTTATATCTAGGAAAATTGATTGATCTTTCGAATCGAAACGGGCCAATAATGTTCTCAATTTCCTTTTACTATTTTTATTGGTTTCTATGTTTTCAGCTTTGGCTTAACATGCTATTGGGTATGAACTGAGTTTTGTACAGTTCCACAGTTGGATAGTTTGCCTTATGTGTGGAATGAATCTAATTGCATTTCCTGGCAGACATGTCTACAAAGCGCATTTATGTACACTGCCTTTGTTAGACGCTTTTCAAATAATTAAACAAAACACCATCTCTGCCCTCCGCTTCCAGTTACCGCAACATTTATGCCAAAAGCTGCATGTTTATTTATTTTGTGCGGATTATATTTGTGTGCCCCGAAATTCCGTAAAAGTTTATGAAATTTTGGCATTCGATGTTGTTTATAGGAGCGCTTGCGACGCGTGCCAAAAATAATAACAATAACATGAATGCACGCACATGCCGCGCTGCTAGCTACGTCGTCCGAGTCCGGGTCCGTGTCCGGCTCTGACTGTGCCCCGGATAGACGAGCCCGTGATAAAATATAGAACATTGATTTTGACCGACCAGCAGAAGGCTGGCAGCTCCAGCAAGAGCAAGGTCACCTCTGTGCCAGGGGCGGGGCACTGTGGGTTAAAATGGGACTTTGATTCTGAAACGTATTTGGACTGTGTCCAGTCAGACAATGAAAAGGCGTGGCAAAACCAGCCCTTATGTTAAATCAATAAAATGTGTTCGACAGTCACTTATATTTTTACGCGCATTCGACAAACGGTTAAAAATAGCCCCAGCAACTGGCGACAGGTGTGTCCCAACGTATCCTAATGACTAGCACAATGCGCGCATGTGTGTGTGTGTGTGTGTGTGTGTGTGTCTGAGTGGATAGATTAAGTCGCTTGGACTGAGGATTATGTAAGGGTCTGTTCCAAATTTTGTACACTGAAAAATCGTTTTGATTTTAAATATACTAAATACTTTAAATGTTTAGGAATTTAAGATGATGGTGCTGCAGAATTTTTGTTTTGTTTTGAAAATAACCTAGTCTCAAACATATTTTAAGGTATTCATTAATCAGTTTAATGAATCAACCCAGTTCCCCTCTACACAAATATTTATAAAATTTAAAGTTTCAATTGACAAAATATAAAAGAAAATGGTAAATTATGTTAAACGTCATTGTTTATTGTAAGGATTAACCCGATTTTATGATATTTTACCTTTTTCTTCTAAAAATTATTAATAATAATAGAAACACGCGAAATATTTTAAGCACAAATACTTTTCACGTTGTAAACTAATATTTGAAACTTAGCAGATTTTGAAACTGTCTCGAATTGCAAACAAATTTGGAATTCGGAATATGCCTGCATATCAACAGTTTCGCGCGCGCGACCCACTTCCCAATTCCCAAATGATTTTCTAGGTGTGTGTGTGTCTGTGTGTGTGACCCACTTTTTCGGTCCCAAATAGCTTTTGATGCCCCTTCAATGCTCGCATTTCAATTGTCGTCAAGTTGTCAATTGGCCATAATGAGCAGCTGTTGGTATTGGAGCATTGCCAAGAATGAACGACCAGCAGCGGCACCTCCCCACTGGCATACCTCTTTCAGCTTACCTGGGCAATATCTCGTCGTGTGCAGCAAAAGTTGACAAATGTCATGTTGACAAAATCAGAGCCATGGCAAATGGTGACGGTCTTCTCTTCGAGCGTGTCCTGCGGTCCCATCGTCACAATCTGGCGCAGCTTGGCGTCCTGCAAGGAGACGCAAGACAAAGGCAAACGGGCAATGATTATTATTAATTACCAAGCATAAAGCACGCCCCCAAAATGAAGTTTTATGGCTCGTGGCCACTCTCGTAAATCGAAGCCATATCCTTAGCCCTAATCCAGTGAGTGTGCCGACAAAACTCATTTGGCTGCTCGTAAATCAAATAACAGGGCAATGGGATAACCAGACAGCCAGACAACTGGACTACTCCAAGGCGCCATAATTCAATTAAATATCACAAAATGGATTTACGAGAGGTGCGGAACACAACTGCCGAGAAACGCGCCATACTGGACACACCCAGCAATTCAACCCAGTAAAAAGAAGCAAGGCGTCCAGAAAAGTCTAACAACTACTATAATGAAAGAACAGCTGAGAATCGCCGAATACTGTATGCACTGATATCATTTAGCTCTATTGAATAACGAAATAAATATCAAAGTCTAACTTTGATGAGATTTAATATGTTCAAAAAGCCTTTGTAACTTCAATTTACTTGGTTTAGTTATTATATGTGTATAATTAAATCAATACGATTTTGTACACTTATTTTATTTTATTTTCCAGTTTATGTTTTGGTTAAGAGCTTTTCTGGATCTAGATTTTAACGCTATGAATTGTGCTAGTCAAATTGAATTACCAAACAAACTTTCCATGATTTTTTTTGTCTAATTTTAATTACTCTTAACAATAAAAATCTTGTTTCTATGATTCAGACTTACTCATTTATAAAAATCACTATAAAAATACTTCGAGACTTGACGTATTTCACTTGTTCTGCATAATCCATCGGAAAGTGGATACGTGTTTCACTGATTTGGGGAAGTCAACTCGAAAGACTGTTTTGTTTTTTAATGAATCGAGTACAAACTTATTTGCAAATACCTAGGTAGAATATTATTTGAAATGTGATTCACCGATTGCGATAAATCTACTGGCTGCAAATGGGGTGTGGAAAAGTTAGCTCAAACGTCACACTTTATGTGACAAGTTTAAAATACCCTCTGCAAGAGTATATTAACCCAACTAGGCTAAATGTAAATCAGCCCGATAGCCAGATAATCACGCAACATGCTCTACAAAAGTGAAATAGGGAGAAATGGAGATAGAGATTGCGAAAAGGAAGAGGCGGGGAAAAGAATGACAGGACAAGCGACTGTTTGGCGAGGCAAGCGTCGGTATTAGTTTTGGCTTTGTTGTCAGTTTAGCAGCTGTCCCCGTCCGTCGTCTGTTGCACTGGCTCTGAGTGGCAGTTGCATCGATCGAGCGGCGGTTGCTGTGGCAGTGGCAGTGTCTTATCCGTGGACTTCATTGTTGTCGCCCCGCTGGGCGTTTAATGACAAATCCAAAATCAGCTTCAGGATTATCAGCGCCCTTTAAAATGCATGACACACACACTAACACACTCACATGAAACGGGCGGAGCTAGGAGCTAGGGGCTGTGTGTTGGCAGCAGCATGAATTTGGCATTAACTTTGGGGCAAGTCATGCCTTGATATTTACAGTAAGCCAAACTGACTCTGTGTGTGGGCTTATGTGCCTGTCAGCCCTCCCGTAGAGCTGCCGACCTTAGCACATTTGACAAACTGCTGGATAACTACGGACAAATGCCACTGGAAAATATGTGGTGTGCGCTGTTTGCATATGATGAGTATTTAGATATTTGAGCTCTCCTTATTGGACCATATCAGGTAAGTATTTTCAATATAAACCCGCTGCAAATAGTAAGCATGTAAACAGCAGGCTGTGATTCAAAGGTTTATATACAAGGAATTTAAATAAATATATGTGCGCAAACACAAATTAATATTAAGCTGTGTTCAAGCAAAATTATATCAAATCTGACTGAAAGCCTTTAAATTAAAGGATTGAAAAGAGCTGAAACAGCTCCGACAATTTAATGCTAAGAATATCGGAGCATAAAAAGAAACTTGGAAATTTTAGAAAAAAAAAAAAATGAAAAGAAAATAAATCAAAGATGTTTCGAACTGTTACCTCGCACTTGCAGACAAAAGGAAATGGCTCTATCAGCTCCGCTCTTGATGCTGATCTAGAATATATATGTATATGCGTCACACATTAATACGCTTTACAAATGTATGTCCTTCAACAAAATTCTCACCATTTGACTCACAAAAACATACATGCATACTATGGTTTTCTCTTGATATAGCCGAGTTGGAAAAGAGTACCTGAATCTGAATCATCCTGTTTGTCTTATTGAATAATGCATAAAATGGGAACGGAGTAAAAGAATTGTGGTTTATAAAGACTTATGGAACAGCGGTTATTTTCTATTTTAGCAAATGATGAATCTGGACATTGCGTAAATAGGGTTTTGTGTGGCGCAATTTAATTTTATATCGTTTCAATTTGTTGACTTTATAAACAATAAGAAACTCTATATACAGACCAGCGTCTCTTTATGATTAATACATCAACTTTTTAAAATTTCAACCATTAGATAACGATATTTTTAAAAACAGACCCACACTCGGGTATAGTAGGTAAAAGTAGACTTGCAAAGTTAGGGTTAGTATCTTGGTTTGTGAATATCCTAATAACAAATTAATTACTAGTAAAAATAAACGCTTCTAGGAAATTCGTAGATCATAAAGATCCATTTTTGGTGAAATAGCTGTTAGCTGAGCAGAGACGGGTTACGGATTGAACTCAACCTTGACCTTAGGCGGCCCAGCCAGCAATTGGATTGAATTCTCTATAAGATGGCATCAATAACTCGACACTGCATAACGGGCTTTGGCTGCTGTCAAAAGCGATTACAATCGGTTCGGCTGTAGCCCAATCAAAGGCCAACAGAATAACAGAACAGGTGAAAGCAGCATGAATGCAAAATGGAGCCAATAATGAGCTTTTGCCGTCCAAGTACGTTCTTAACCCTTGATCCTACGGTCATGCGTCCATTGAGCCAAGGGCACTTTTTGACTTTTGCAGTAAGCTGATTGACACACCACAAGGGGGTGCTTGACGGGCAGCTGCTCAACGGCTATCACGTGGCAGGCTGTGGCAATTAAAGCGTCATTCACTTTAACATCAGCCTGGTGGCCGCACGCTTGGCGTTGGGCCATAAAAAGGCAATGAAAACTGCCACCTCCTGCCCGTAACCCCACGAGTGCTTTTCGCGGGTCCTGAATGCGCCGCCGTTAGAGCGTCATAATTTGCTTTTAACTAAAAACTAAATCGAGCCAATTTGTCGTCCTGAATAATGTAACAGCCAGCCAAGGAGACAGACAAAGAAAGAGAGGGAGAGAGTGCGACACAGGTACAGCTGGAGGATTTTCGTCCTTGCCAGGAGATTTCACGGGCACTGCAGGAAGCGCAAAGCGGAAATGACTATGGTGATTATCTTAATTGCTTCACACGTTCCTCTCAAAGTTTTATTTGGGTAGGTTCTACTCAGCTGACGCCTGTATCTGTACTGGTACCGGCAAATTCTATGACGCTGGCTCGGTATTTAAATGTTAAGAGCCCTCTTTAGCTAACTATGCATGGAAAGGGTTGCTCAGGCCCGACTCTTATAAATTTACGACGGTTCCAATGCCGCATTTCATTACTAATTTACTAATGGTTTTAACGAAATAGGACAAATGTATATATATATGTATATATATAAATATCCAATATTTCGATATATTTCGTCATGATTTCATTTCGTTTTGAGATTTTGCTAGTCGTGTAGAAAAATGTTACAAAATTTTTGAACAGAGAAATTAAAAAAAAAAAATTATTTTATTCAAAGTCCATCAAAGTGCATCGCAACAAAATGCGTAGGCAGCAATCAGCACCTCTTTCGCAAGAAGAGCCCACCCAGAAGATACCGAATTTGGCCCAGTTAACTCCCTACGATGTAATGCGAATGCAAAACTGCAAAGGCTATAAGTTTCGAAAGAGTGAAATGTATCCAAGCATCAGGCCGCCAGTATCCCAGTGTAATCCCAGCAAGACGATTGCTTGGTTTTCAAAAACGATGGATGCTAACGGCTGTGGATGCGTGGATACTCAATTGTTGAATAGAAAATATAAAAGTTCAACCATTGAAAACGCGGAACTCGTGTCGAAAAATGTTTTAACTGGGACAGGCAAAAATATGTTTCATCTATGCAAAATGAACAATCAGCGAAGACAGCAAACACAAAATACCCCCGAAAGGGGTATCAACAATATGCTTGACTGGAGCAAAGTGACTCCCTACGATTTCATGCGAATGCAGAACTGCAAGACGTTCAAGATTCTCAAGTGCGAGACTTATCCCAGCATCAAGCCGCCAATATCCCAGTGCAGTACTACGCAGACAGCTGAGTGGTTAGCCGATGTGGTTGAGGACGCTGGCTGCGGACGATACTTTGATATGGAGCAGGACGATGTCATGGACGTCTGGAGAGAAAGCCCAAATAAGCAGACGCTGAGCTATTACGGCGTGGCGTCGGCCCATCCCCAACCGGAGGCATTAATGTTCAATAGGGTGATCGCAAGATCTCTCGAAAAGGCAACTGCAGTGAAGCCTGCATCGCGCAAGCCCGAGGCCACAAAACCGCAGATCATGCCATATACCTCATGGCCCTGTGGGAAATTTTTGCTCAATCGTCAGTTGCTGCAGGCAAAGGTGACCAATATGCCCACAGTACAAAAAAAACTGGATCCAAGCGAGGCATTCACCTTATTGCACTGCCCCAAACCGACAGAAACTGAGCATCCGTTTCTCGAAAGCCAACCCAAAGTTGCTCTCACAAGTGCCCTCGATATGGACCGACCAGTTCCAAAGCCCAAGCACGGGCTTAGGCGCAAGCACAAATATTGCGAATTACAATGTCATATTCCGGAGAATAAATGCACGGACTATGAATGGAGAAAATACAAGCAAGATCCCAAGCCGATTGAAGCGGCCTTTGAGAAGGAGATTGAAGAGATGGAGAAAGGGGAGCCTGAGCCTAGAAACTACGATGAGCTATACTCACACCTAGTGACCTGCTTTGAAACTGAGGACAAGGACCCACTGTGTGATTATTATGAAAAGTGCTGTATGCCTCCCGCAAAACATGCTCCGGAGGTTCCTAGTCATGGAGGCTCGCGTGTTCCTGAAAAAGGTATTCACCGTCGCCCTCCCCAAGTCCCAGATGGTGCTCCTGAAAAACCAGTGGGGCATAAGCCAAAAATACCCAAACCTCCCTCGTTGGTGGGTACTGAAACTGGCGATGGAAAGCAGCCAGAGCCTCCAGAAAAACCAGTCAAAGAAAAACCGATCAAAGAAAAACCAGTCAAACCAGTGAAAGAAAAAGAGGAAAAACCCGAAAAGGAAAAACCTGAAAAGCCAGTTAAGGAAAAACCTCAAAAGCCAGTTAAGGAAAAACCTGCGCCTAGTGGCACCTCGGAAGCAGACTACCCCCCTGAAGAAAAGAAACCCGCTAAAGAAGGCAAGTTTCCACAGAAGCCAGACAAACCGGGCAAAAAAACACCTGAAGTAGAGCCTCCCCCAACAGAACAGCCTGAAATTGTACCTGAAGATCAGCAGCCACCAACTCCCGTTCCAAGCACTAGGCCTGAACTGCCTAAGCAGCCGATGAGGCCTGAAAAACCAACTGAAGGAAAGAAAAAACCACCCAAAAGACATCCAAAAAAACCTCAAAAACCCAAACGAGTTCCACCTGTAACAGACCCGTGTGATCCGGTCAATGACTGTCCCTGTGAAATTTGTGAATTCATGAAACGGCGACAGAAGGAGTCGGACACCCCACTAATTCGTCAACTGAAGCAGGAAGAGAAGCGCCGGCAGCTTCGGGATTACTACAAACGGATGTGCCATCGCGAATATCTCAAGTGGCGGAAGCCCGAGTACCACGCTCCTCAACACAAGTGCGATGGTATTGTGTGCGACAATTTCTTCTGTCGGAACCCAAAATTAGGGGAGTACTGCGAGTGCTTGGATGCCATGCAGAAGCTGCAAAAAATGCTTGGACCCAAACATTGCATTGTAAAGAATGAGCTGATATTCAATGTAGAGGATCTGAGGCGTCGTATATGTAGGCGTTTTTGTGACTGCCTTTAGAGATCATTCTCAATGGAAGAATATACAAAGTCAATTTGTGTCTGTCTAAGAAGTGGGTGTCTAGCAGAATTGCGAACTGGTGTAACTTGGATATTTTCTCGGTGTTAACTTGAAAGTGTGCCTAATATGTTTCGATCCCATTGAGTAAATCAGTATGTTGTTCTTCTTTTGCCAAAACACCCACAGATGAGTTGTCTAAGTACTCAGTATGTACTACTACTTTGTTTCAGAAGATATAGTAGTATTATAATGATAGGTAGGAATTTGGGCCTATTGCTAAGGATAATAATTTCTCATATTTAGTAGGCTAGGGGCTCAATGCTTGTAGATAATATATTTGCCTAGACTTTTACTTTTGTAACCTTTCAGTATCATGTGTAAAATGGTTTGAATCGAATCAACCCAAAATTTAAGTAATGTACTATTTGCAAAATATTGGTTTTTAAAATTTCAGATTTTATAAGGCGACCAGTTTTATGATATTATGAATACTAGAATATTGAAAAAGGAAGGGAAACAATCCCAAAGAATAGTTGACTCCTCTCACTTGACGCCATATGATTTGATTAGGATTCGGAACTGCAAGACCTTTAGCTACTGTGAGGATGAAAATTATCCTTCCATCTTGCCGCCAATATCTCTGTGTGGTTCTGAGCTTACAAGTCAATGGTTATCAGAAGCAGCTGAAAAAAACTGCTGTGAGCGGCCTGTTAATATGGAGATAGATGATATCGTAGAGGTCTGGAAACAAATCCCGTATAAGGACACACTGACCTACTACGGCATAGGTGCCGACATTCAGACGCCAGAAGCAGTTGTTTTTAACCAGGCAATTTTGAAATGTCTTGATAAGGTCAAACCGGAAGGGGCTGCAGTTAAGATACAAAAAAATACGCATATTCCGGTCAGACCACAAAAACATGAAACAAATGTTTCGGGAGCCTTGGTTTTGAATCGTCAGTTGTTGAGTTCGAAAATTACTCAAATGCCCGTTGTGCAACAAAAGCTATATCCAAGGGATGTAGGCTCTTGGCTGCACTGTCACAGGCCAACTAAGCCCGGGTACCCGTTTATTGAAAGCCAAACCAAGATACCTCCTACAAGCGCCCTTGACATGGAACAACCTGCTTCGAAGCCCAAACACGGTCTCAGGCGCAAGCATATGTACTGTGAATTTCAATGTAATATTCCAGAGAATAAGTGCACAGATTACGAATGGAAGAAATATAATGAAGATCCTAAGCCATATGAAGTGGCCCTTGAGATGGAGATGGCACAGGTGGAAGAGGAAAAAATAATCGAGCCGAGAAACTACGACGAACTATATTCGGAACTTTTGACCTGCTTTGAGCAAAACACTCAACCTGATCCTATCTCTGAGTTTTACAAGAGGTGCTGTAAGGGAATGTCGGAATATGGCCAAGATCTTGATGGTGGTTCTCGTGGTGGAGGTTCTCGAGGACGTGGACATGGAGATGGAGATGCTGGAGATGAAGGTTCCGATATTGGGAAAACAGCTGGTGAAGGCGACGTTAGAAAACCAGGTGACACGGAAGGTAAAGGAAGAAAGAAAGGTAAAGGTAAGGGTGAACGGGGTAGTAAAAGAAAAAGTAGGGGACGCAAGGGTGGACCGGGTAAGAAGGGAATAAAGGAACATTTACATAGGGGGGATTTAAGAGAACCTGACGGAGATTCAATGCGTGATGGTGAAAACAATTGGAAATTACATAATCGAACAGACTCATCAATTTTGCGCGAGCGGATTAGAAATGAAAGAGAACGTGAGAAAACAGAACTAGAAAAAACTCTTAAGCTAACCCATACCAAAACTAAAAAAAAAAAATATAAACGGAAGGGTAGTAGCAAAAAAATTAGTAAGCTTGAGGTGGTAAAAGATTGTCCCTGTGATATTTGCAAGTTTATGCAACGTCGACAAGATGAGCCGGACACCCCACTCATTCGTCAAATGAAGCAGGAAGAGAAACGACGCCAGCTGCAAGATTACTACAAACGGATGTGCCATCACAAATATCTCAACTGGCAGAAGCCCGAGTATCTCGCGCCCCAGCACAAGTGCGATGGCATTGTGTGCGACGATATCTTCTGCCGAAACCCCAAATTAGGGGAGTACTGTGAGTGCTTGGAGGCCATGCAGAAGCTGCAAAAAATGCTTGGGCCCGAACAGCGTATTGTGAAGAATGAGCTGATATTCAATTTAGAGGATCTGAGGAGTCGTATATGTAGACGTTTTTGTGACTGTCTTTAGTAATCATTGTTTAAAAAGAAAGCCAAATCAAATGAATTTGGGGCTATTCACGAAATATAATTGTATGTTTGTAGGTAGTAAACCCTTTATTGTGATTCAAAAAATAAACATGTTTCTGATGTTTGGATAGAAACTTCTGCTTTGTCTTATAATATGTAATGTAGCAGATGTGTGTAACTAAATCTTGTACAAATTTTTTTTGGTAGGTATGCTACGGCTATGCCCATGATAAATTAATGGGAGAAAGTAGATGGATAAATAAATAAATATAAATAAATAAAATAAATCAACACTATTCAAAAACCCTTTGTTGATAGTTAATGAGATTTGCTAAAAACCTGATTTAAATATCGATTTTTATTTGAAACAAGCTCGTACTACGTACGGACGGTCGCACATAACTAGATGCACTCGACTGTTGATGCTGATCAAGAATATATATACTTTAGGAGATGCTTGTTCAACCCAGTTTTAATAGTTTCATGGACTTAAAAGGAGAAAAAGCAAAAAATCAAGAATCACAACGCATCGCCATGGTACACACCTGTAGCTACAAAGGTGTGAAATATGCGCTAAATGTAGCAGCTTTAGGTTCTGTTGTGTTCTGTAAGTATCTGTACCAAAAAATATATATATATCTTATAAAATTAAACACATTCATATTTGGATGGAATAGGGTAACAGATTTTGAGGTCCACACATGAAAATAAATGATTATAGAGACACACGCATTGGCTTTTAGAAAAAAAGCATAGCCTACCTTACTGCAATATTATTTCCTGGGGTAAAATATCGAAGCTTACAGTTCATTATACAAAAAGTTTTAAGGCGAATACATCAAAATTTTTAATGGCAGTAAAGGCTTTTAGCATGTTTTAATAGATCTTACGTATTGACATTTTATTATAAAATCAAGGTTAATATAAATATGCAAAGACAAGACACACTAAATAGGAACAGGGACCAGCCAACTACCTATGGGGTCCTACGATTGCAAAACTGCAAGGACTATGCATTTCGGAAGGGTGAAATCTACCCAAGCATTAATCCTCCAGTAGCTTCATGTGGAAATAACGCTACAAATAGGTGGTTGTCTAAGTTTGTTAATGAAACTGGTTGTGGAACCCTTGATCCGAAAATTTTAACAAACCTCAACAAAAATGCATATGGCAAGCAAGATGTTACTAAGTCCACTCAAGAAAGTATTGATGGTCCCCGCACAGCACGCAGATACCTTAACCACCCAGTAGAACTCTCCCAAAGGAAGCTAGACTATAGCCAGCTCACTCCCTATGATTTAATGCGGATGCTAAACTGCAAGATGGCAAAAGTTCAGGAATGGGAGACTTATCCCAGCATCAGGCCTCCAATATCCCGCTGTAGTGCTGCACTGACTGCTCAGTGGATGGCCGATTCTATGAGAGATAGTGACTGTGGACGCCCATTTGACATGGAACACGATGATATTGTGGAGGTCTGGAAGCAAAGCCCAAATAAGGACACACTGGGTTATTACGGAGTAGGCTCAGATATTCACAAGCCGGAGGCAGTTGTGTTTAACCAGCTCATTTCGGAATGCCTTAAAAGGGTTATGCCGGAAGCTACCAAGGATAAAAAAGCAACAACCATTCCACCTGATGATGAAAATGTGAAGAAACCCTCTAAAAAAGATGTTCTTAATCGTTTATTGCTAAAGTCAAAAATTGATAGAATGCCTACTGTACAGGAAGCGCTAGATGCGAGCAAGGCACTTACCTGGCTGCATTGTCCCCACTTACTGGGAGAAAAGTACCCATTCCTTAAAGGGGAGCCACACGTCAGACCTCAAGCCGCTTTCGGAATAAAAAAGTTGGTTCCGAAACCTAAGCATGGACTCAGGCGAAAGCACCTGCTCTGCAAATTGCCATGTGTCCTTCCCGATAATGCATGCACGGAATACGAATACAGAAAAGATCCCAAGTCTTATAAAGAGTTTTGCCGGAAGGAGATGGAAAGGTTGAAGGCTGAATGCGAGGAAGAATTCGTAGAGCCGAGGAATTACTCGGAGTTGTATCCACATTTAGTAACATGCTTTGAAAAAAGTCCACATACCAAAGCGCGCAAGCCTAAAACACGAAGCTCGAAGTCGGAGGGCCAGTTCTCGTCTGAAGATATGGATGGATTAGATGGTGAAGGTGTTGATGGTGAAGGTGTTGATGGTGAAGGTGCTGGTGGCAAAGGTGCTGGTGGTAAAGGTGCTAGTGGTAAAGGTGCTGGTGGTGAAGGTGCTGGTGGTGATGCTGCCCAACGCAAAAAACGCGATGGTAGCACGGATAAGGATAAGAAATCCAAATCCGATAAGGGAAAAAAACATTTTGAGAAATCAAGAAATAAGGCAAAACCCGAAAAAAGCCTATCGAAAGATATACTCAACGTTCAAGATAAGCCCAGTAAGATATCCATAACAAACGAAAAGCCACTTAATAAAGATGATAAAAACACACGCAGAAAGCAACAAAAACCAAAAAGGAAAAGCAAAGTCCTTAAAACTGAGACGAACGAGAAGTGCCCCTGTGAGTTGTGCCATTTCATGAAACGTCTACAACGCGTGCCGGACTCTCCGCTCATTCAACAAATGAAAAAAGAACAGAAGCGGCGGGAGCTACTCGATTACTATAAGGGCATGTGCATTCGAGATCGAATGAAATTTTTTAGTCCCAAGTATCCAGCTCCGCAGCACAAGTGCGATGCCATTCAGTGCGACGACAGCTTCTGCAGCAACCAAAAATTTGGCGAATATTGCGATTGCCTGAATGCTATGCAACATCTGCAAAAATTACTTGACCCCAAGAATTGCATGGTGCGCAATCTGCTCATAAGTCTCAAGAATCGCATTTGCCAGCGCATCTGTGGGTGTCTGTAGCTGCAAATCCACCAGCGAACTGGCCAAACCGGATATGTTGAGAGCTGGCGCATTGCATATGATTTTAATGTTTTTGTTCATAATAGTAAATGTAGTTATTAATCTTTACTCAATTGGGCATGCGGGGCATAGGAAAATTTTTAAATTTTCAGATACTTACAGATTTCAGACGATTTAAATATCTCATCTCTTCCGTAAAGATATTCAACCTTACGCTCGATTCGCGGCAAGTTTATTCTGTTGACATCCGCTGTTGGGTTTGAAAACCCCTGTAAAGCGTTTCCGATCCCACTTATTGTACATATTTTATAATTAGCATTAACAACCTTGTAAATCAATCAGAGACCTGTATGTTAAGAAGTACAAGGTTGCTGTGGCTGGCTATCTTCTAGTCAAGCACTGTTACCTTTTCATCAAATCGCGGCGTTTTGACGAATTGTACCTTCAATCCATGATTTTAAAGTTTTGTACAGAACTAATGTACAATTCAACCAATAGGGTGTGGAAAGTTTCAATTGAAGGATCCTGGAAGATTAATGTCTGTGAACAGCGCCTACTTAAATGCTTCGTAAGTTCCCTGGACTATGTTAATTGCCAGTTTTATTTCAGTTTCCAAAAAATTTTCAGCTGAATACACCCCAAAATTTTAATTATGCTTTATAGAAAATTAACCGATTTTGTAGATTATACTTCTTGACTTATTTTTTTTTTTTTTAACACGTGAATCCTCAGAATGCGTAGCCGGCCTGTAGACCATCTCAATCCCTGCAAAATTGTACTAATTCAGAACGGCAACACCTTTGCGTTTTGTAAGGATAATATCTATCGTAGCATCCACCCACCTGTGTGTCAGTATAATTCTGAGCTCACAGGTAAAAGGCTTTCTAATGCGATTAGCCATACCGGCTGTAGACCCGTTAAGCTCCGAATAATACAAAAATTGCAACAATGTCAAAATGGGGAGAAAATAAAACAACTTAAAAGGACCCTCGATTGTGACAAGCCCCCAACAAAATATATGATGCGAACGCTCAAGTGCAAGGCAGCCAACTTTCAGCAATGGCAGTCCTATCCTAACATCATACTTCCAAAATCTGCGTGGGCTTCTGGGTTGACAGCAGAGAGTTTGGACAAGGAGGATGACCGTCTGATGTTGTTTGACATGGAGCAAAATGATGTCATGGAGGTTTGGAGGCAAATTCCAAATAAGGATACTTTGGGCTATTACGGCATAAGCTCAGACATTTACAAGCCGGAAGCGATCGACTTTAATCAGGTTATCGCAAAATGCTTAAAGAAGGTAACCCTCCGAATCAAAGCCTGACAGCCCAAGAGCAATATAACATCACAAATTAATGTTCCAAAACAAAGTCAAGCCATAAGAAGTGTAATTATTGAAGTTTCAAGCTCAGCTTAAGAGATAAATCCCAAAAAGGAGACGCTAAATTGAGATCCTCTTCTGATATACGTGTCGATCAAAAATGAAATACGCTGATACTACGCCGATCAAGAACTGCCCCGTGAAATATTTTATTTTTGCCTGACTACCGTGCAATATCTGTAAAAGTCGCGGGGCCCTAAGTATTACTTGTGGATAATCAGCATCTTTTTAACGACAAACAGCTTAAGGATCGCATATGCCAGCGCCTCTCTGAGTGTCTATAGATGTAAAGCGATAAGGGAACAGGTCAAACCGGACAAGTAAAGAACTGGTGTGGTCACTTGGCCCGTTCCTCATGAAGTTTAGGTCTTGTTATAAATATATGTATTTTTGAATTTTTAATCAATTGGTGAAGTGGAGGAGGCATACAAGATTCCTTACATTTTAAGGATCTTACTTTTATTTAGAGATAGTCTGCTTTTTATAACAAAACAGAGCGTTCCGGTCGTGCGTCCTTTTTGTTATGGGTACTATCCTTTTATGTTTTAATTCATTGAAAGTGGGTAAATGTCGTATTCCGCTAGATTTGGACTATCTAGTCGTCTGCCAATCTCCACCAGCCAATTGGCCGGCTCGGCTCGTTCTGTTTCAGAAGCTTACGGTTTTTATGAAATTATAAGGGGTATTTTAACTTTTGTGGAAAGTGTAGGATATGCATGTAAGCACTTGTTTCATAGCTGGGTACAGGGTATCTCCGAGCCGAAAACAATTGCCTTATATCGATTCAGTCTTCCATTCCCAGATGTTGTTATAACACAAAGATTGTCAAATTGTACCAATTTAAATGTGAAGAGTGTAAACATTGAAGGATCCGAGGGGATAAGTCGGTAAACAGCGCCTACTTAAATAATTTGTAAGGCCCCCAGACTAATTCAATTGCCAGTTCTATTTCACTTTTAAAAACATGTTTACCTGAATATATCTCAAAATTTTCGTTTTATTGTAGAAAATCTTTTAACTGATTTTATACGTTTTTATTTCTTGGACTATTTTTAATTTTTATCAAATTGAGTTACCCCAGAATGCGCAAACAACATATGGACCACATCACTCCCTACGATGTCAGGCAAATTCAAAACTGCAAGACATTTGCATTTCGTAAGGATGAATTATATCCCAGCATTATACCGCCAGTGTCAAAATGGCTTTCTAACACGATCAACGATTCCGTCTGTGAACCAGTTGAACCTCGAGTATTACAAAAAATGCAACAAAGTCGAAACGAGACCCCCGATGATGGTCAGAACTCCACCGAAGATATGATTCGAAAGCTCAAATACAAGGAAGCAAACTTTCAGCAATGGGAGAATTATCCCAGCATCAGGCGTCCAATATCACCATGTGGTCCTGAGTTGACAGAGATGTTGGATGGGGCTGTTGGGGACAATGACAGTCAGCGGCTATTTGGCATGGAACAAGATGATATCATGGAGGTTTGGAGGCGAAGCCCGAATAAGGATACGTTGGGCTACTACGGCATAGGCTTAGACGTTCACAAGCCGGAAGCTATCGACTTTAATCAGGTGATTAAAAAATGCCTAGATAAGGTTAACCCCCAGCTGGCCAAGGAACAGTCCAAGACCAAAACTACGCAACTTACACCTAAAAGTAACGAGCAAGCGAAGGAACCTGAAGGAACATTTGTACTAAATCGTCAGATGCTTAAGTCTAAAATAAATAAAATAATCCCTGAGCATGAAACGCTTAGTGATGCACTCGGCTGGGGGCATTGCACCCGGTCAATTGGTGACAACCAGCCGTTGTTTCAAAGTGAGCCGAAGATCAGTGTCAACGCCGTCCTTGACATTGAACGACCATCCGCGAAGACAAAGTGTGAGTTAAGACGCAGACGCAGGCATTGCCAAGACGATATTACCGCAAACCAATGCACAGAATTCGAACGGAAACGTGATCCAAGTCCTTATGAACTGGCGTACCAAAGGGAGATGGAGCAGTTGGAGAAGGAAATCGAAGCAGAGCCGAAGAATTACGATCAGCTGTACTCGCAACTAGTCACATGCTTTGAAAAGAATACCTACACAGATCCTATTTCTGAAGCTTACAAGTGCTGCCAGAAATCTTCAGTGGTTCAGGATGAGAACGATGGCGCTGGTGCATCCGGTGACGGTAGAGCTGGTCGAGTTGCAGGTCATCGTTCTACTAAGACAGCTGAAATCGGAGCGGGTGATGGCACTGGCGGTGCAGGTGGGGGAGCAGGAGATGGTGCAGGTGGAGGAGGAGATGGTGCAGGTGCAGGTGGAGGAGGAGATGGTGCAGGTGGAGCAGCAGGAGATGGTGCAGGTGGAGGACCAGGAGATGGTGCAAATGGTGGAGCTGGAGATGGTGCAAATAGTGGAGCAGGAGATGGTCCAGTTAAAGGGACTAAGCCATCTATAACTAAAGCTTTTAAACAGCCGAGAAAATCGTCTAAAAAATCAGGTCAAAACAAAGCTGAAAGAAAAAAAAATGGCGCTCCTATAAAAAAAAAATTCGAGCTCCCTCGTAATAATTCCCAGTCTGGCAGTGGAACTATTCCTTCTATTTCGGTTGATAAACCAAGCGGTCCAGAACTCTCCCGAGTGTCTTTGCAAACGAAAGAAGATCGTCCGGGAACGAGAATGCGCTTAAAGCGTAAAAAGGGCAGGAAAGCCAAAAGACTAATCGCCCGTTCAGAAAATGACATTAATGTACCGATTAAGGATTGCACTTGTGAAGTTTGCAAGTTTATGGATCGTCGAGAGAGTGAGCCAGATTCCCCGCTCATCCGCCAAATGAAAGATGAAGCAAAGCAACGTGAGCGCTGGGAATACTATCATAGCCTTCGCCAGCAAATGGAGTTCTGCGGGCCTGAATATCGTGCCCCTCAGCACAAGTGCGCTCCTATAGCATGTGACAATAGCTTTTGCTATAACCGCAAGTGGAGTGAGTTTCTTGATCGTTTGACAGCATTGCAAAAGCTGCAGAGGTTGATCGGTCCCAGGTACGGAAATATGGATCGTGATGTTCTCGACAAGCTGGAGATTCTCAGTAATCGTATACGCCAACAAATGTGCGACTTTATAACGATGCAAAGGACCAAGCAAAATATTTGGCATACAGGATCTTTTAGTACATTTTACAATTGTTGACAACGTTATTTTACATTAAAAATGTATTTTATAAGACTTCTTTTTGATAAAAGCAACTTGACATGCTAGGATTTGGTAATTTTGAATAAAATTCCTTATGCAATGCCTACATGACTACTATTTTTCGACATGGGTCTACAATTGTGACATCTTAAAGCTTATAATATAAAATGTTTTGAAATGACAACAAGTAAAATTTGAGTAATGCAATAGAAAAAAAAAACCTCAAACGTTTTTGGATTCAGCACTAGGTTTCATCATCTACAATAGAATCTGAGCAAAGATGTCCAACCAGCAAGAACATTCTTCCGAGGAATTGGAGCAGAATGAAGAGGGGTTAGACTACAGCCGGCTTACGCCCTACGATGTGTTGCGTATGCAGAACTGCAAATCAGCCCGATTTGTGAATAGAGAAACATATCCAAGTATCAGGCCGCCAGTGTCCAGGTGTAGCAATGAGCAGACGAAGATATGGTTAGCTGACGCTGTCCAGTATATTGGCTGCGAGCGGCCTTTTCGCTCGGAGAAGGAAGATAGTATCCTAGAGATGTGGAAGCACACCCCAAACAAGCACACGCTCAGCTGTTATGGCTTGGCCTCAGATATCTATCAGCCAGATGCAATCATTTTTAATCAGGCTCTTACCAAATGCCTTGATAAGGTCAACGGTGTAGAGCCAAAGTGCAAGAAGTCAAAGAAGACTCCTAAGAAACCCGAGAAACAACCCAAACCGAAAGGAGCCTATGTGCTCAATCGTAGCGTGCTGAAGTGTACCATCAATAGCATGCCTACTGTAATGAGAAAGACAAATGCAAGCAGTGCGAACACTGTGCTTTACTGTTCCGAGCCAGCTGACCCAGAGAATCCCTTCACCGAAGATGAGCCATTCATTCCCCTACAACGGGCACTCGACATGGAAAAGCCGGCTAAAAAACCCAAGCATGGACTTAGACGAAAGCACAAGTACTGCGAATTGCAATGTGGTATTGCAGAGAATAAATGCACGGCCTACGAATGGTTGAAGTACAAGCAAGATCCCCTGCCGTATGAAGTGGCATTTGAGATGGAGCTGGCCGAGATGGAGGATGAAAAAGACCCCGAGCCGAAAAACTTTGACGAACTTTACTCGCAGCTGGTCTCCTGCTTCGAGAAGAACCAATACGAAATTCCCGCCTGCGAAGTATATGGAAAATGCTGCAGGCGCCCCTCGGATCGCAGGGTCATTCAGGGTTGCGGCGAAGATAAATTATTTGGACCTTGTGGTAAGTTTCGTTGAACAAATTAAGGTTGCGGCAAGACATTTGTAAGAAATGTAAGGGATAGTGTAAATAAGGTTTCACATATAATGAGACAAGACTAGAGAAAAGGGGATATATGGAAAGTAAAAGAGAGAAAGGCGGAGAGAAAGCTAGTCTATGTCCAGTAATGGAATCACAGGGCAACATTGTAATCCCTATGTCTTCAGATTTTTATTTCTTATATAACATTTGTGGGAAATATAAAAATCACCGTTACTTTAGTCATAAAATATCTAGGGCATATTAAATTTGGTTTGATGCTGTATTTAGTCTGTTTACCTTGTAATCTGCGAAAAGGACACCAAAGGGAAAATGTCAATAGACGCTGGGAAGAAAACAGCATAAATTAATTAATAAAGATGAGAGTCCCAAGCAAGCTTTAATAGGTAAGGCTTCAGGCTAAGCACAAGCCCAAGCTACCTTTTGTCGGCTTCTCGCTCATTTTTATTACCCTTCCGATATTTCCCGAGCACATTGCATAATTCATTTAAGGGCACAATCCTCTTTAAGCGACTTCGAGGCATATCTTTTCGTCTGCCCTTGGCGTCCCCTTCATTGCCGGCGTTCCACGCTTCAGCAAATTTAAATAAAATCGCATTCCATTTCGTTTCAATGCAACAGCAGCAAAATTATAAGTTAAAAATTAATTTGGCTGAGCCGCAAACTAAATACTCTTGCGAATGTTTTCGTTTCTTAAAAAAATATAACGAGCTAATCTATATTAAAGTAAATTCAAAAAAGGGAGCCCCTATATGGCAACTAATCAATCTTTATTTATATTTATTTGAGGTATGTCCGAAAATATTTTTATGTTCCTTATAAATCAAAATGTACTTTTATATATTTGAACAAATATCAAACGATTTTATATCTTATGGAAGTTACGATCCAGTTGTAACTGGTATTATTTATCAAGAGCTAACATTATAAAATAAGACAATCAATCAGAAATTTATATACTGCGAATATCCCTTTCAGTGAGTTACAGATTTTACGAGCAAATCAAAAAACTCTTGGGCAAAGAACATTTTTAATCAACGTGAGCCAAAAAAAAAAAAATAAAAAGTAAAAAAAGACAACGCCCTACAAGCGCACACACCCACACACATACACACACTCCCACACACACACACATTTAATGAAAAACAGTTGAGTGGACATGAGGAGAGGGTTGTTGGCAAGGGGCTTAGCTTTCAGTTGGGTTCTCTACAGACTTTTAAATTGACTTTATGCACCCAAACATATGCAGCACTTTTTGCAACATTCCAAGTTAATCATCACATATTTACTACCTACTGTAAGTGGGCGTGGCATATGCCACTCTCCCCGTTCTCTCCGGCTTTCTATCTTTCGTTGCATTTAATTAATGCAACGATTTCGCTGTCCATTTCGGGGCCGAAGCGAAACTCATTTGGCGCTGCCTCTTGGCCCATTGCACGCTAAGAGTGGCCAAGTATGTGGCAGGGGATGAGGGGAATGTGGGAATGGCGGGTGTGGCATATATGAGCTATACGCGCAGCCCATCAACTGCCAGGCCCATTGACCTAGGTCAAATATGCAGTTCCAACAGTTGCCACAGGACACCGCGCTGTCCTCAGTGGAGAGGGCGAGGGAGGAGGAGGGGACGTAGGACTCTAAAAACCTAACGTCGAGAGATTTTTTTTAATGTTTTGTTTTGTTTTGGAAGGGCGCTCAGCAAGTCGTGAAAAGTCAAAGCAAAAAGTCAAATGTTTTTTTTTTTGCTTTTTGTGGGCAACGAGGCTTTGTTGGATTTTTTGTTAGATTTATTGTTGTTGTTGTCGTTTCCTATTTGCCGCTGGCAGGATACGCTTGCCGGCTGGTTGAATCGTCTGTCCCTGTTCGGGCGCTTCCTTATGCCAACGTTACGTAAAATGCTTTTTATGCTCAATTCCTTGCAAAAAGTTGTGGGGAGTGGGCATAGCAGGAGTGGGGCACAGGATCACATGCATGTTGCCGTGTCATTGCAATGATAAATGTATTTGGTCACACATACATAGATATCTGGCATACTAGCACCCACATAAATAGACACACACTCACAGCGAAGCACTAAGTACACACAATGAGCATTTGTGCCATGAAAAGAAAATTGTGTGAATCGACCAAGAAGTCGAATGGCGCCCATAGCACACATTGTTCAGAAAGCAAAATAACATAAAACAGAAGCAAGTGCAACACGAAGTAGACCAACAAATATGGCGACACAAAACAATGCCAATAAGGCAGCACACACAGCGTCGCATTTGTTATGGGGGTTTTCGCCGAAAAACTGGACACAACGCACGTGAGCTGGCTAAACAAACTCTGTGTAAGAGATTTTTCAAAGTTCTGGATTACGCGTGCCTACCTGAACAATATAACTTTTGTGGATCATCTTTGCCTAGCCTGTAATTGGATTTCAATTGTTGTTGGCGGCAAAAATCAAAAAGCAATTTTTATTAGCTCGTATTCGAAACAGCTTCGCAAATGTTTGCGTCGCAGTATCCCATACAAGTATACAAACATGCCACAATGTTCATTCAATCCGAGGCCCGAATCCAGAATAATACATATGTTGCCAAAACTATGTTTACTAACAAACAAAAATAAAGCGAAATACAGCACAAAGCAACTCTTATTGGGAAAGCCAAATATGCGATACCCTTATCGTTTTGAATACCATTTGAAATAATTTACATTAAAAAAAAATTGATTTTATTTGGTTTAAATTCTTGAGAATCGTAAAGTAGGGCGTTCTGGATCGCTAAGTCTTTGTCTTAAAATGTTGAGCTAAAATCATTCCTTCTATTATTCACACTTTCACACAATTTTAATCAATTATAATGCTGCTGTAACTATATGTTTATTTATTTTATTGCAGGATGCAATTGCGTCGGGAACTTGGTGAATTAAAAAGATGAAGAAACAAATATTTGGCATACGCACCTTTGGCTTTTTGGCATACTGTCCGGTGCGCACATCGCGTATTGTGGCAATATCCAGTATGTCGAGCTCATTGTTTTGATCGACCCAATATAGAAAAAATCCTTTGGCATCCACACGCATCGTCACCGGCGTACCACTGCCCGAATCCTGCAATGGAAAATCGATGAAAAAACAAATGTCTTAGTGCAAGATCTGTGTATGAGGTTTTTTTGTAGTAATAAAAATGAAATTCCATTTGCGCCCAAATCTCTGTTGACTGCGGTTCGTTCAACTCGTCGAGACTAATGAATTTATTACACCGAATTTCGTTTTCCAATCGCCCACAAAATGGCCAAAAAGAAAAAGTCATCTCTGCTTATTATTTAAGTCAAATTAAATGGGCCTGTAAAATGATGTGCACTGTGCCCCCGTCCAACCACCCGCAGCACTCCGACACGTCTGCTGCTTGTCATAAATATTTGAGCATTCATTCATAAAAACCAAAAGAAAAGAATGCGAAATTTTCTCATGTTGGCCGCAGCTGGCAGCCTGGCAATGGCAAACAGATGCGTTCGGATAAAACATCGCGAGCCAAAAATGAAATATTTTATTTTTTATTTAATTTATTTTCTTTTTTTTTTTTTTGCTTTGTTTTTAATATATTATATGCAAAACAGACGCTACGAGACGTTCGTGAATTTTGAAGATCTTTCAGGCAACTGAGGAACTGAGGAAGCTGTCTTAAATTTTCTCGGAATCTTCCTACTTTCAGATGCGTTAAATGGCGCGTAAGAAACGAAATACTTATTGCCGATGCAAATTATACAGATATGAATTCTTTACATATATATATAAATATACATTGCGCGAAACGTGCTTTTTCTTCAAATTTAAGACATTACTATTCCAACAGTTTTCCACCCGTGATGATGAATTTTACAAAAAGAGTACAAGGGTCTCAAATAAGTTTCCCAAATAACTTTTCAAATGAGCTTAAGACCGATCGGACGCCGAACAAAAGATTTTCATGCTGCCCAAACATAATTTGGCCCTCATTTTTCACATAGTAGGGAAGGATTTAAAGTAGCCCAAATTAAATCATAATTTAAAAAAAACATTCAAGTTAAAATTTGGCTAAAATAATCTTTATTTAATTTAACAGGAGCAAAATCTCAATTTTGCACGGACCATTTAATTTAAAACAAATCTAGGAAAAGTTGCCACTCTGTTTACGGGAGCAGCAGCAAGACATGGACAATTGCTAATGCAACTGAAATTTGGGGCAATCACGTGCAAAGACTTTAAAACTGTAGAGGGGAGTAGTGGGCGCAGCAGGCGTGTCTGGAATATTTTGGACACTTAAGGGATCAAGCAGTAAGCTTCTTGTTAAAATTGTTGACTACAAAACAAATGTTTTCTATTTCAGACTGTGAACAGAGTAAGCACTAAGAAATTAAATGGAAATTGTTGAAGCTATTTGCTTTTGGGCAAAAATAATGACTAATTTTTTATGCCATCTATAAAATTTTACGATTTAAAACATAAACTGAGAAATTTTTATTATGAAAATACATGAGCCTAAGTGATGCGTATATATTCATATGAAATACAACAGAAACTTTACAAAATAGAATTTAAGAGTAAATACCCAACGTTAAATCAATTTTAAGCCAAACTTTTTATGATGATTACTTCTTAAGGGCTAAAAGCCGAAAGAAATATTGATCCATGGTTTAAACCAATTTCTTTGCTGCGGGGTATCTCGAAAGTTTGCTATATATAGAAAAAAGAAATTTTTGAAGGAAAATTGAGTTCCACGCTTAATAAATTCCTTGATTTCTAAGCAGACTCTTAAAAGTATCCAGAAGAGGAAATAAATCTGCAAAAGTAATATTCATAAATACTATTCTCTTGTTCACAGTATTATCTCTTGTGTCTGGGCATTGTCTGAAATTGGAATCAAGCCATTTTGACCTGCCAAACGAAGCCTGAAATATGACCATTAGCATTAGAGAGTAAGTGGTATTTTGGTCGGAAATTGATGAGCATTGAAATAGTCGTAATGAGCAAGTTTAATTTGCAGCAGCTCGGAGTTCATTATCCTTTGTTGAGGTCGGTTTAATGAACTCACAAGGTGGCAAAAATGGCTACAATTTCACTTTGGGGACGGGGCGGGGACGGCGTTCCACGCTATCTTCCACGGCCCCCTGTCCATTCTAATAATTGATATTGAAAACATTTACTTGCACTAGAAATATGCGCAGCTTTTGCTTTGGGTGAGGGTGTGTTTGAGGGTCATTTGGGATTCAAGTCCGGTTTGGTTCATTTCCTTCTGAACCCCTCGCCCGCTCCTGCAACATTTTTATTCAATTAAGCGCATATTTTGTGCAGATTTTGGGGCTGCCATCAGAAAAAGGGTTGCGCATCGCTAATTGGACTACAGTTTAACCCCATGCTTCCCAAACACAAGATGTGCCCCACTTGAATAAATCTTGTTTTTTCTACTTTTCTAATTACTCCTCACTAATTGAGCTGCCAGCCAGCCAACGACCCGTTCGTTGATTTGTTTTCAATAAGCAAATTTTTGCTGCTAACCAACACTGCCAATCGTATTGACAAATATCCAAATGGCCTGCGAATCGACTGCGAAAATTTCAACTCGTGACTAAAAAACTGGCAAGCGACAGACGCTTGTCTGGCTCTAAAGCTTGTTTGTGCGCGCGTTTGGGCTAAGAGCGATTACATGCATAATTCAATTGAAGCCCTGCCAGCTCCGCGTCCCTATAGATACTGCCAAAGCAAAGGGATAAATGTGCTCGCAGCTGTGCCTCAGTTACAGATACATTTAGAGCCAGAGATACAGATATATCTAGAGATACAGTTGTATGCATATTGTATTGTCAATCATGCTTAGGGGCCTGCCAATAAAGCCAAGGCAAGTGGGTGCGTTTCTCTGAGTTACAGTTGCCTCTACGCAGAGCGTCAACTGCTTTGGGGACTATGCAAATGCTATTTGGGATTACCCAGCTGCTGCCCGGCAATCTGTGTGCGTGAGCGGGTGTGGGAATTCTACTACCCTATCCTTAACACTTTTGGCAAAGTTGAACTATTGAAAGAAATAAGTATGCTTCAATGCTTGACTTGGTAATACACGGAGTACAGATGTATCTATTACAGATTCACATTTAATTCTCTATATATCTTTTCGTAAATACATTTTTAATTCCTCAGCAATAGTTTGACAATAATACGGCGTTCATTTTTTTCTCCCAAGCGAAGCAATTTACTGTGCCATTGTTTCTTTTTTCCCATTGAAAGGTTACCCTGTGATTAATAATCTTTTTGTTTTGAAAAGCAATACGAACTGAAACAATCGTTCGCGAGTCATGTGATTCATTTCTGCTGCTCAGAAAGAAGAACTTGGAAGTTTTAACTGTACAGATGAAATGCACTCCTCGAAATGCCAAACAAACAACAAACTTGCTAAAAATATAATCTTTAAACACGTGAATGTAGAGTAGAGACAACAATTGTAAACGCACATACAAAAATTTGAGGCCTTGAGTATTTCGTATGTTATCTGATTTGAGCCTGAATAACATACATGTATACCCTTCTAATAATTGAATCACATCTTAGCTGCCTTCATCTCTGGCTAACTGTCTATAATAGCCTTTTTGGTGCATTTTATGTGTGCAGGGTATACGAAGCAGCTTCAGCAGCTGCAACTTCAAACTACATGCAAATGATGTCATAAAAATGTAGACAGCCTCCACGTTTGTCACCTGTGCAAGTTTGTCGAGCACTCGAAACTAGATGCTCGAGTTGCTCTTGTTGGTTTAAAGTTTCGCCAGGCACTTATTAAGCATACGCCGAGTGGTACACTCCAACAAAATGAAGCCAGTCCCAAGCAGCAGCAGCAACAGCAGCAACAGCTGTCAACGTCTGTCGGAGCTCTAGGCAAATTAAGATTGATGTACGCAACGTGTACAGTTGTGGAGACACTGCAATTTGACCCTGCACGCGCAGCAGGTGCCCCTTGAAGTTGACATCAGCTAGAATCTACGATTAGGCATGCTCGATCCACACAAATTGGGCTATCGAACTTATGAGGCTTATCGAGCAGTTAATTGACCATTGGTGATATTGTTAGTCTGTGCCCGATATCTAGGGCTGAATTTTAGAGATTAGATAGTTGTTGTTTGCTTTAATTGGCGACAAGTGTATTACGCAAAGATCAAAGCTGTTAGACGTTAGCTTAAAGACTTGACTGTTCGCTGCTCAGTTGAGCTGGTAGTAGGCACTAATCACTTGGTAGATCCAATCCACGTAGGCGGGCACCGAGGTGAAGACCGTCGGCCGATTGGCATAGCCGCAGGGCATATAGCTCCAGGAGCCCAGTCCCGCCAATTCAGCTGGTCCGGTGATGGGCCAGTAGACCAGGGGGCTGCCGCCATCGCCATAGCATGCCTGCACCTGGGCGCATACCTGCCTTTGCGAGAGCGGCGCATCCGTGGGCAGCAGCTCCGCGCAGCGCGTGCTGTTCAGCAGTGCGGAGAATCCATATTGCAGCTCCTTGGAGTACGCATCACCGTCGACATCCGTCAGACCCCAGCCGTAGACGGTGGTCGTCTTCCCGCTGTAGTCCTCATCCAGATCCGGCAGTGCTATCTGCTGCACACGCGCCGAGTACACAAATGACTCGGAAACGTGAAGCAGGGCGATGTTGTCGCTGCCGGCCTGGCCGTTAAAAGAGCGATGCGTCGAGGCAAAGTCCACGTAGCGCACCTGGGCGTCGCTCACGTTGGCGCGATTGGAGAGGCCTGCATAGACGGCGTTGCCAATGATCTCGCCATTGAAGCTGCGCCACTCCTCGCAGCAGTGGGCAGTCGTGAGGATCCAGCGCTTGCCAATGATGGCACCCGCGCACTGATGACTGTAGGTCAGCGGGGTAAGGCTCAGCGAGACAAGGTAGGGCGCATTGTCCACGCCCTGCACATCGAATCCATCAATAATGCGCGACGTTATTTCCATTGCCTGCTCGTTTTGCATCTTATGCATTATACTCTCCACCAAATGGGCGACTGACTCTGACGCGATATTCCCTTCAGCCAACTCCTCATAGTGACCCGACAGCAGGTGCTCCAACTGGGGTACCTGAGACCTGGCCTTGGCCAAAGCCAAAAGCGGCAGCAAGGCTAACAAAATTTTTACCGCCAACATAACGTTACGAATCGTTGCGAACTGCGATTGTTGTGAGCCATTCCCGGAAGCTCTCGACACTTATATACGCAATCATTCAGTGGAGCTTTACGATAAGCAGTGAGGGTAACAAGTGCGATTAGTATTTAAGGAGAGAGATAGTGAGAGCGTGCAGAGATTAGGGATGGCAGCGTGTTGGACTTTTATGCAGTTGCCACAAATTCCAAATTTCCACGCTTCTTAATGACTATTATTGTTTATTTTTTCCCTATCCATACATATTTCATTTAAACATTTTTAAAAGTAGAAGAGAAACCATTTTTCTTACAAAAGGTTGTTGACGTTGTGCGTGTTCGCAATCACGAAGTGGAGTCACGACCCGCTACAAATGTCGCAGAGCGAGAGAGAATTTCCCTTTTAATAAACACCTATTTCCAACTTTCATTGCCTCAATATAAATTGCTATTAATTCATGTTTTGATTTCGTTTTGATCAATCCATGGGTCTATCAAGAAAATATTGCTATATCTTCCATGATTTTTAAGCTAGAAATTTTTATATTTTAATGATGGTTCACAGAGCAAATAAATTACTCACTCACTTTTAAATATGGATTTTGATCCCGTGGAATAAGACTCCCTGTTTCTCTAAAGTTGAAAAATGTCTATTCGGGACAAATAAATAGTCATAAACATAGTTGTTTTTTATCATGTTACTAACAATCAAATTTTAAACTATCCTTTGCTCCTTTAACATGAGCTAAACATAAAACAACCTCGGATTTCTATATCTTTGAGCACCTATAGGAACAATTGGCTGAAAAACTAGATTTTTTCTAGCTCTAAATGATTTAAAGCTATATATAAATATCTCTAAGCCCCCTTTTCGAGCTCTATCTACCCTTGTGTTAGATATTTTGCCCTAAGAACCCTTAATATTACTAAAGCCTTTCCTTCCTTTGATTTCCACAAAGACAATTAATGAAAGCCTAGTTGGATTTTGATATTAAGAGGATTATGTTTTTCTAAGAAACATTTGAATAGATAAATTTAATTGTAGAGAGCTTGTAAAGAATTTTTTTTAATTCAGCATGGCCGCAGTTTAGTCAGGCGCTTATTAGAGGATTCGTTTGTGCTTAATTATCATCGTTTAGCTGGTCTTCAAAGTGGTATTCATGCCACATGTTCTGTACTTTCCCCGCCGTTGGGCTTTTCCCAGCGCTGTTTAGTTAAATGTGTACACATTTGTTTGAGTGCGCGTGTGTGTGGGTGTGTGTGTGTTTGTGTGCGTGCGGTTGCACAAAGTCCAAGGCCCGCAGCGGCGTAAAATTTGCTTTTAATTGGCTAAGCCCGTAAAATGACCACCATCTGCCGCGGGCCGAGCTCCGGACATTGTCCACTCTTTTATGTAACCGCCAAGGACGAGTATCCCTTTATAGACAAACACACACGTACGTATAAATATATATATTTAGCGCCCTTTTATGAGAGGGGAACTTAGGCTCGAGGCGACCTTGCACGCGTGGCTTGTCAACACCTTAGAGCCCACATTACACATGCTAAAAATATGGCAATTATCGAGGGCCCAACATGAACAACGCGTAGGGACTGTAGAAACTAGGGTTTCTGGCTCTACATAGTGCTATTTGGTATTTTTAATGGCACGCTTCTGTAGAATCCTTATCCTTATCAGCTGGATTTGTTGGATTAGCTTAATTTCGGTTGGTGTGGAAAAATCAAGTCATAAAATTTGATTAGTAAATACTCAAATCATTATCGTAAATCCATCTTTTAATCGGCTGATAACAGCGAACTATAAAAGGTCGCTGCACGCCAACGACTCAGTCATTCGGCGTCTATTGCTTTGAGCAGAATGAAAGTACTCGCTGTTACCCTGTTTGTCCTGCTGGCTGCCAGCGCCCAGGCTGGTAAACTGACCGATACGTTGGCCAAAGTTATTCCCAGCTTTGCCACCGGATTTGTGATCAACGGCACCGAAGCCGATCCACATGCGGCACCCTACATTGTCTCACTGGGCACCAAATTCGAAAAGCACTCGCACATCTGCGGAGGCACCATCATCAACAAGGAATGGATCGTCACTGCCGCTCACTGCATCTCCCAGCCGGTTGGCATGAGCGCCATTGCCGGTCTTCACAAGCGCGCCGAGGTAGATGAGCGCACCCAGCACCGCCAGATTGACTTTGGCCGCGTCCACGAGCAGTACACCGGTGGCGTTGGTCCCTTTGATATTGCCGTGTTGCACGTGAGCGAACCCTTCGAGTTCAACGAATTTGTCAGCCCAGCTACCCTGCCCAGCCGTGAGGAGATCCACGAGGGTGAGACCCATCTGTACGGTTGGGGCCAGCCCAAATCCTACATTTTGACTGCCGCCAAGACTCTGCAGACTGTTACCACCGAGGTTGTCAACTACGAAAAGTGCAAGGAGGTTCTACCCGATGATGCCCCTCTCGCTGAGAGCAATGTCTGCTCCGACTCCCTGCAGCAGAGCATCTCCGCTTGCAACGGCGACTCCGGCGGCCCACTGGTCGTTGAGCACGAGGATGCTGCCTCTGAGCTAATTGGCGTTGTCTCCTGGGGCTACATTCCCTGCGGCTTGGCCAACTACCCCTCGGTCTACACCCGCGTCTCTGCCTACATCGACTGGATTGCCAAGATCCAGAGTGCCTACTACATTCTGAACTAAGTTCTTGTTTAAACTTTTTAATAAACGAACTTGACTCTGGTCAAGTCCAGTTTGATTATTAAGGACAAATTGCATTTTTATAAAGCATGTGATCATCATATTTCATCATACCGCATAACAGTATACTATCTCCGATTGTTTAATCTAATCTCCAATAATTACTGGCTAATTTTGGCTGGATTAGTGTAGCTTTTTATGGACTTTGCTTAGGACACATGTACCTTGTTAAGGGGCGTATGTCAATAGATTAGCTTAAAGCAAGTTAGAACGTATGAGTTGGGGTGAAATGACTGTTGAATACACTGTTTACTGTGTGTTCCACTATCTGAACAGAGTGTAATTATAAGCTATATTATTGCAACCAATCGGAGCACACGCAAGAAACTTTTATTGACATATCTATAAGTGTCTAGGGGTTTCTTGTTCCTATTGGCCATCTTTTCTTGGTTCATGTTTTCTAGCTATATCAATAAATTAATGTGTGTGACTGGCATTTTACATAGGGTGAAGATAAGCAGCAAATTAAATAAATGGCTTGTATAAAAACATAGGTTGAATTTTTGCAAAATCATTTTATACAGCATAATTGAAAAATATGACTTTGAGTTCTGCGTATTTTGCTTAGTAACAGGATTCTTGAAATGTAAATTTCCTAGAAATTTATGACTGACAAAATAGGTTTCTAATTGGTTATAAATAATAAATATCCCGCTAATTAGCTATTTTATTCCTTTGGAAACCATTTGATATAGCATATGCGATGTTGATACCATTTTGGCTATACATAGAGAACATTGTGAAACTATTTAATGATGAGGTAGGGCAATATATCGTGAAAACAAAACAAAGTTTAATATGATCGACTTTATAGCAATCCGATCTGGCCGGTTTCGACATATGTACTGCCTGTAATATAAAGCTTAAAACTTAGGGCCCAGCTTGCATTTAAACAGACAGGCGCATAGACAAACATCGTTATATGGACTCGGCTGTTTTTACTGATCAAGGATATATATGATTTATGGGGTCGTAGATGTATGCCTCCATGCGGTATACTTGTCACGATAAACTTAAAATATCCTGCACAAGGGCGTAAAATCATTTTTCCTACATCAACGCTGCGAGAAGTCACATTTACGACACTTGAAACCGATTTGATGTGCGAAAATCGAATCTCAAATCGATATATATAAAACATGCACTTTCCGTTAAATCAAATCCAAAATAAATGATGGAAGCAAACGAGTAATTTTCTTTAAATATTCTTTTAGTTTTCGAATTATGCGTTGTGAAGGTAATCATAAGTTATCGATACTATCGGACGGAGTTTCGGACAATCGCTCTTCGTTTGCCAGGGTTGTCAAAATATTGCTGTGGGCTGCTCGCTATTTAAATCTTATCAGGCGATGAAAGATCCCAATTAGCTGATTAGTCGGAATATTGATAGATGGGAAACTTTGTGTTATAAAATATGATTATCGCCCTAAGGGATATCTGTATCATAAATCTATCTGCTAATCTGCTAATCTGCCGATAATAAAGCTTTTTCTTCCGGGCTGATGGCCCTATAAAAGGTTGTATCTTATCATTTCAATTCATAATTTCAAGGCATTCAACCGGAATGAAAGTACTCGCTGTTACCCTGTTCGCCTTGCTGGCTGCCAGCGCTCATGCTGGCAAGCTGACCGATACCTTGGCCAAGGTTATTCCCAGCTTTGCCACTGGATTCGTAATCAACGGCACCGAAGCCGATCCACATGCGGCACCCTACATTGTCTCACTGGCCTCCAACTTCAATAGTCACTCGCACAGCTGCGGAGGCACCATCATCAACAAGGAATGGATTGTCACCGCCGCTCACTGCATCTCCCAGCCGGTTGGCATGGGCGCCATTGCCGGTCTGCACCAGCGCGCCGAGGTAGATGAGCGCACCCAGCGCCGCCGGATTGACTTTGGCCGCGTCCACGAGCAGTACACCGGTGGCGTTGGTCCCTTTGACATTGCTTTGTTGCACGTCAGCGAACCTTTCGAGTTCAACGAGTGGGTCAGCCCAGCTACCCTGCCGGGTGTTGAGGAGATCCACGAGGGTGAGACCCATCTGTACGGTTGGGGCCAGCCTAAGTCCTACGTGTTTACGCCCGCCAAGACCCTGCAGACCATTACCACTGAGATTGTCAACTACGATAAGTGCAAGGAGGCTCTGCCCGCCGATGCTCCTCTCGCTGAAAGCAATGTTTGCTCCGACTCCCTGCAGCAGAGCAAATCCGCTTGCAACGGCGACTCCGGCGGCCCACTGGTCGTTGAGCACGAGGATGCTCCCTCTGAGCTAATTGGTGTTGTCTCCTGGGGCTACATTCCCTGCGGGTTGGCCAACTACCCCTCAGTTTACACTCGCGTCTCCTCCTATATTGAATGGATTGCCAAGATCCAGAGTGCCTACTACATTCTGTTCTAACTTGTGAATTTGATTAATAAATTTTGGCTTTTGGTTAACTAAATGGGTTTGATTAATATTTAATGCGCAGAGGGAATGATCTCTAAACTTAGAAGGTACCAAGTCTAAATTACCTTATGCAGATGTTTCTGTGTCTCTAAGTTCTTTCTACTCTCAAAGTTTTTAAATATTTATCTTAATTAAACAATTAATCGATTTGGCTGTCTTTATCCGACAAACAGACTACTAAATCAAAATGCTACTTTTGGTACTATCGCTTGAACACCGTGAAACGATTATAATTATATAACTACCAAATAATGAGGCTGACAAAGCTTGTAAATAATACAGTCTGGCAACGCCAAAAGGGAGTAGAGTTTGCTTGCGAAATATGCTGTTGCTTTGTGAAATAACTTAAGTTGGGTGACATGAGATATTTTTTGATTTTGGCTTGAACAAGCCTTTGAACATTTACCCAATCTGATGTCAGCGCTAGCTTATCGTATTAAAATATTAAAATAACGCAATCTGGCAGCACCAGAAACGTGTGTGCCATTGTTAAGTTGGCTGCGGCAGCGCTTACTAAATACTGTCAACGAGCTATTCAGATATCATATTTATACCCCCCGTAAACGTTTGTAGATTCCGATTGCAAGACATCCAATAAATTGTGATCAGCTGTGTCAGTTGTCTGCTACGCTCGATGACCACATCGAGAACTTTTCAAACGCTCCTATGCTTTACAACGCGCGCCCAATCAGACACATGATCTTGCAGAAATGAAAATAATTTTTCTTTGTTTATACAGATTACTTTTATATATGGTCGGCCATAAAGTAAACCGATTTCGTGATTTACGAGCCACTTGCCACAGTATTTATTTACGCACAGACGATCAACGTATCGAAGCAGGAATCATCGAACTGGGCCAGCCCACTTGAGGATGACTGAATGATTCCATCTATTGCCATTGATATCGATCTAAAGTGGGTCTGCGCCAGCGATTAGTGGACCCGATCTACGTATTGTAGCAGGAATAATCGAACTGGGCCAACACTCTTGAGGATGACTGAATGATTCCATCTACTGCCATTGATACCGATCTAAAGTGGGTCTGCGCCAGCGATTAGTGGACCCGATAGCGTTGTCTGGCGGGCAGAGTGCACTCTGGTTAATCGGGACATGGTCAGAAGCGGCACAAAAGCCGCTAAAAAAAAAGGATCGTAAATTTGCCACAAATCTGCGGCGCGTCGCTTAAATGACTTCCATAAAGACCAGTTGCCATTGATAGCTATCGATTTGATAAGGATTACTCTCTGATAAGGCACCAACACTGACTATAAAAGGGCAAGCTCCAGCTACCGATGGCACACAGTAAACGGTGAAATCAGCAGCTGTTAACATGAGACAATTTGTGGTGCTACTTGCACTGGCCGTGGCCTCGGCTAGTGCCAATATCATTGCCTGGCCGGGATTCCCGGAGGGTCGCATCATCAACGGCCATGAGGCCAACTCTGGCGAGGCGCCCTTCATTGTGTCGCTGCAGTCGACCAGCAACTCGCATTACTGTGCCGGTTCCCTGATCAGCGATCGCGTTGTGCTGACCGCCGCCCACTGCATGACCTATGCTACATTCCAGGTGGTCGCTGGCGCCCACAGTCGCACGGACAAGTCAGCGACTCAGGTGCGCAAGGGCAGCAGCGCTCGCCAGACGATACACGAAAAATACGGCGGCGGCGTTGGCCCCTACGATTTGGGTCTGATCTTCCTGGAGGAGCCCTTCGATCTGACTGTGCTGGCACGCGATGGCAGCGCACCCGTCTCGACCATCTCGGTGGCCACCAACCAGTTCACGGCCAACACCGATGGCGTGCTATTCGGCTGGGGACGCGACAACTCTGGCTCATTGCCCGACAAGCTGCAGAAACTGGACGTTGATATTATCGGCTATGCCGATTGCCTGGATGCGCTGCCACGCGGCAACAGCCTGGCCGACAGCAACATTTGCAGCTACACCGCCGGCACCACCGACGGCGCCTGCAACGGCGACAGCGGCGGTCCTTTGGTTAACAAGAAGGTCGACGGCAGCTACCAGCTGGTGGGCATTGTCTCCTGGGGCTACACGCCCTGCGCCAGCACCAAATACCCCTCTGTCTACACCTACACGGGCGCCTACTCTGACTGGATCAATGAGCACAGCAATGACCACTAAGGCTAGCAAATGAATGAATAAATGAATTGAACTTTTGCACTACTCACATCGTCCCATTTGATGAACTTCTCGCCATCCTGCAGAGCCTGTGGCACCTCCACGCTGGCCGTCGATATGTAGGTGCCGCCTGCGCTCATCATCCTGTTGCCCTTCTCTGTGCTATTTGTTGTCCTCAGTTACTTTTGCCCGATTCTTATGCGTGGATTCGCTTCAGGTTTTCTTTTCAGCTTCAGGGCTTAGCCGCTGTGCTGCATTTCCTTAGTTGAGTTTGTTTCGCTTTCAACTTCAGTGGTTCTCTCAATAGTTGTTGTTGTTGTTGTTGTTTTGGTTGAGTTTTCTTTGCATACAAATGAAGCCATTTGACCGTGTCCTGGTCCTGGCCTCAATTAACGGCAGCCGCTGTTATTGCCGCACGCTTCACCTGCGCCTGCTGCATTCTGCGGGTTTCGCTGTTGCAGCTTAATTAAAATTCCGCTGGCTGCAAAAAGTACAAAACAAACAGAACCAAACAATGCGTTTAGACTGAGTTAACAAAGCCAAGTTTTATCAACAGAGACGACTATCTACGGCTCCACTTGCCATGACCGTAGCCGCCAGCTATACGGACTAAATGCCTTAACACAATTACAAAGTCGAAACTTATTTAGTATTGATTTTATTATTATTATTATTATTATTTGCTTTAAAAACAGTTTTTGGCGCCCGAGCAGGGACTTCTTGTATTCGCTTTGAAGACTGCTGATTTAATTATTGCCTTGTCTGAAAGGCAAAATTTTGATAAAAGATTTATACTTGTTGAAAATTATTAACAAATAACAAATACTAAAAATTGATGTTCAAAGGAAAAATTAAGATTCGTATTCGTTCTGTGCAGTAAATGGTCGACTAGATGATATTGATAGATATTATTAAAATATATTGAGTAATCTTATCTCTACTCTCGTCTTAAGTTCATGTTAACTGGAATTTAAGTTGCTGGCAATTAATATTCGTTAATTTGTAAAAATTCCACACATTCGTGGTATTTTTTGCAGCGCATAGTATATTGAACCTCATAATATGAAATTTGGTTTCGTAACCTCTTATAAATTTTAACCAACATACAAGCCAGATCGTTAATTCCTTAATTATAACTATATTTTTTAACATTATCTGAAATTTAAAAGCCGCAATTTTTCGAATTTTACTTTGTTGAACCTCGTTAAATGGAAATCTAGATAAATCGAATTACTGTGAGAATCGTTAAATATGTGAACCCCTTGCCATTTCGAATTATCGCTATTCGAGTGTAATTACAATTGGCGACTGGGCAGGGACTCATTTGACACAAAATAATGAAATATGACTGAGAAGAATGCTATTCTAGATAATTTCAATAGATCAACCATTTGTGGACATTTTAGCTCGCATCACTTGTAAAAGTCAACTCGCTGTGAAAGTTAATTTGTAACTTCAATGCTATTCGTTCTGTTATTTTTTGTTGCCAGCAATAAATGTGGTTTTAATCAAATCGATTGACTGTCTTTATTTTTGTTTCTTTAGCTATGAAAATATTTGTAAGCTTTGCCATTCCCTTTACAGATGTTAAGGTCAAATCTATTGGCCGAACAAAAACCGCTTCTCAATGACGTCTGCGAAAGAGATTCAAGTGGAAAACGTGGCTGCAAATGTAATTTTGTGATTTGATTCAGTTTTTCCATCGTTGGCTTTAATTTATAAAAATATCTGCGAGTTTGCACTTTGCCTTTGCTCTTCGATATGGCTTACTCAAAGCAAGTGTTTTTTCTGGTAACTAAAAGTTGAGCTGCTGCTGTTTAATGGCGACCGAGCAGGGACGGCAAATGTGCTCTTGATATTTAAAAAAAAAATTAGTTAGTTTGCAGTCGAGCGAAAAATCAGAGTTTAACTCTTATTTTATTCAAATCGATTCATGGGGTCTCAAAATAAAGTGAGAAATATGCTTGGATTTTATTCAAATCAATTCATTCGCATACTCTACGTCTTTTCTATATATAGCCAGAATTTGGGAAGGGTCAAGTCTGGTGCCTGCTTTTCACAGATTTGGCATTCAATATGGCTATCGCTTTGTTAGCCTATTTTTGGGCTGGCCCCGCGGCGCATTGTATAGTTTTCTCTCGCCTTCTTTTTTTGTTTTTTATTTTCGCCATTCATTTATGTAAAATTGTTTCGCTAATTTGGAGCACAAACATTTTCAGTTCACAGTCTTCAGTTTGCAGTTTTCAATTAGCAGCCAAACAACTTTTGACCTCGTCAGAGGGTGGGAGGAACTGCGCAACGTTATTGTCCAGCTTCACGGACTTTAAATAGACATCCGGTTGTGGGACAGTCCCAACTCAACGGAAGTCAGCTCCGATGACAGCAGCCGATAAGTGTTCAGTAAATTCATTCAGAATATGCTTTGGCTTCTGAATCATTCACAGCCAATGCTTTAAGTTTTGCTCCCAAACACTTAATCCGCTTAAAATAAGCCAGGCAAGAGAGACGCAGATAATGTCAGATATACAATGGAGAAAGACAACCAGCTACACTTACACACACGCAAACACACACACACACACACGCACACACATTCACGTGACTTTCTAACTAATTCATTTATAATTTCTTTTGGCCAAGCCATAACCAATTTCAGCAACACACAAAATGTGAACGTAAGCAAAACTTTGGCAAGTCCACAAGCCGCACAACTTGGCTGTGTGTGTGTGTTAGTGGTAGACACACATTCACACACACACACACAAACACACACACATGCGGCAGAAAGGAAGTCATTTGTTTTTTGTTATTGTTGTTTCTGCGAACTATGGTAAATAAAATTGAATTTGTGTGCATTTATTTTGGCAGTTTTCTTTGCATTCTCTACTCTCTTCCACATTTAGCCGCATTCGTAAATTTCAAATTGAGTTTCTACGTCAGGAAAATTCAGCCGCCGGCTTTGCCGCGGAAGTAATTAAGCATTTTGTTTTGCATACGAACTGCGTGGAAATGATTGGAAAATTGTTATGGCTTATATAACAAGCGCGTCGAGAAAATCAAATGAATAATTTGCTGGCGACGCGGATTCAGACTTTCCTTTTGCACTCCTTCAGCTCTACGTTTTTTCTCACTTCTTCTTTGTACACGCTGAACCCTTTAAAAGTGGGGCATGTTGTTTTTGTGCGAATACTTGCAACAGGCACTGGGGAGCGGCTTCATATTTAGAGGGTATACCTATACCTCGATCGCGGAAACAGCAACAAGCGATAAGAATTTTGCATAATATCGATAAATATCGATTTGGTTTCTAATGCAAAAAAGAGAGTATTAAAAGAACCCGACATTGTCAAAGAAAAAAATATAAATAGATATGGATAGAGTCGTGTGCCATAGGTAGACACTGAACCTTTCATAAGGCACGGACTGGGGGGAGGGAAGAAGTATGTGTGGGAAGAAGCTAGAGTGTTTGTTCAGGGTATCTTCTAGCCGAGCTGCGGGCTAGAGCACTCTTCTTTTTTTTTTATTTCTTGTTTTTTACTCGCACAAATCGTTTTAAGTGTTTTATGGCAAACGGGCAAAAATTTATTGCAGGCAATTTGCAGATATACCAACGCCTGGTGGGGGCGTGTGGCTGGCGGGTGTGTGTGTGTGTGTGCGTGGGAAGAGAGGGGCAAGGGGCCATGGAAAATGGCAGGAAATCACAGCGGCAACAAACAGATTTCAAGTGACTTCCACTTCTAGTGAAACAACAACAACAACAGCAATAACAACAATAATAACAGGGCCGGAGCGAGATTCGCATGAATCATGCATGCGACACACAACAGAACAGAATAGAACAAAATGGCGGAACTGGGTGGAACTGTCCCCAACAAACGCCTACGGGGCAGCCCCAGGGCCAGCCATAAATCAAAGCACCAGTCAAAATATGTTTGCCGAGCAAACTGTAAAATGTAGGCTGTGGCACGGACGATATTTGGGAAGATAGTGAAGTGCGTTTGAGGTAGAACTTTATCTCGGGGACTACTTTGTCTGTTTATGTGCGCCATAACCTTACCAGCCAAACGAGCTGTCCTCCATGGTTATTTTATGTGGCAGAAATATGCGAATCTAGATGAGCTATAAACTCACATTTCAATTGTATTTGTATGCTCACAAACATATCCATAAGACATGTCCAGCAAGATTTCTCCATGCTCTCTTAAAGTTGAGAGAACGTTCGCTCCAGCCATGCGCTTGATGGAGGTTAGTTTATGGACAACGATAACTTTTAAAATTTACTATTTGTTCTCTTTTGCTTGAAACTATTTGACATTTTCCATTCTAGCTGAAGGAGTTGTCATCCATGCTCAGTTTATGTTCTGCAAAAAGTTCCTAGCTTTACACATCTCTCTCTGTAAGTTGGTTTCTCGAGATTCTTTGAAGTCTACAATAAATTTACTAGCTGTAACCCAGTATTTTAAACTTTAAAAACTTCGTAGCTAACAGGCGTGGTGGACACTGGAGTACTCCGAGATTTCTATACATAAGATTCATATTTGAAAGCAATGGATGCCTTCTTCATGGTCTTACCACGTTTCACCTAAAAAACTGTAACCAACTACAAAATATTTTTGGTGATTCCTTTATGCACCAGAAACATGAAAAATCTGAAGTATTTGTGCTCAAATGTTCACTTTGGTGCAATAAAAATGTATGAACTGCTGCAAAGTTATTCTAGATGACATTCTGTACAACAATAGGCACAACATAATAAGTAGCATAAAATAATAAATATCAATGCATGGTCACATGCGAAAATCAGTTCACCCATAACAATAACCCTCAGTTTGAAGGTTATGAAGAGTACGCTTATTGTTATGGCCCAACAAGAGCAGAAATACCCTTTCCGGTACATAATCAAACTTACTCAGCCTCCGGCAGATGCCACACAACTGACTGTGGCATCGGCAATTGTTGTTGCTGCTGCTGTTGTTGCACGAACGGCATCGAGGAAGTTGCTTGTCAAATGGCAATCTTGGCGCTTCGCACTGGCAAAAAACATGATAATCAAATCAAGGCGCCAGCTATTTGGTTAATGTGCATGACAGCGTTGCCGACGACGTTGCCAACATTGGCAGCAGCCAAGTTAAAATGCTTAAAAGTGAGGCAGGTGAGCTTCAAAAGATAAGAGGATGAGCAGCAGGGGGCGGGCGGCGGCCGGCGCTTGTTGGAGTCGGGCAAAAATCTGTGGCATGCTTTTAGGAGCAAGCGTTTTTGTCGACGCGCAAATTGCAGCGACAGCCTGTGGCCTGCCACGGTGTGAGTGTGTATATCTGTTTGTGTGTGTGTGTGTGTGTGTGTGTGTGTGTGTATGTATGACTATAATTTCATTTGTGGTACATAAAAGTTTTGCTGGCGCTTCATCTCGCACTGAAGTGTCTAAGCGAGAGAGATATACACAGTGGGAGAGAGAGAGAGGGATCGAGAGGGAAACAGGAA